TTTGTCTTAAATTGCCTAAAAGGAAGAGGAATTTAGACTCAAGAACCTGCTGCAATGCCAAGGAAGTTTGCACTATCGACCATTGAGAGTCTCCCGTCAGCAACTTTTATATCGTTTCTATGTTGTGAGCTACGAAACCGTATATAATTTGATTTAGTTTTGTTTAAGCACAAAGAATTTTAGCCGAACTTGAATAGTTTATCAAAGTTTGCCTTTAAGTTTTTGCTGCCTGTTATTCATCATCTTTTAGAGAAAAAAACGCTGCCAGAATGGAACCTTAAGTACAACGTGTCCCATTTTTGATGGTTTTACGGAATATCTATTTTATTAATAAACCTAACGAGTTGCAAAAGTAAACCTGGAAAAATTTTCCGATATTTTTCTTTGGTGTTCGGATGGGTCCTGTAATCCGGAAACGGGTTGTTGGTTTGGTCAACCATCCACAACAAGCGTAATTACTATTGGCGGCCACCGGGTGACGATCGGGATAAAAGGCGCCCAAAAATAAAACCGTCCGTGTCTAAAAATAAACACTTCATTAATAGAATCCGACGCTGTCGAGCGCTCTACGTGACTCAACGTAAATTTTTGTTATACATCTGATAACTTTAGCGAAACGTTTGTTGTCGTTTCGAGGTTTTTTTTTTATCGCGGTTATTTTTAAATCGAAAAACGCAATAGTTCCGCTTTTCCAAAAGTCAATGCTAGATTAGTCTATTGCAGAAAGGTGCGGAGTATAAAACCTCATTAGGTGTCCAAAGGAAATACTTAAGTATAAGTAGATAAATGGCAGGGCGTTCCTCAGGGCAGTGTTCTCGGGCCTTTGCTTTTCCTGATGTAATACGACCAAAAATATAGTGCATTTATTGCTTTGACGTACCTTAACCGCAGGCCTTCGCGGGTAAAACCCATGCCAACAGATGTTTATTCTGCATTTAGTAGATCTTGCCTGATATGGACCGCAACGAATATTTGTAGAAACTCGAATTTTTTTTCAACGTATTAAATTTGATTTCGAATAAGTAGAAGCGTTTATTTAAACATCAGGTGATATGTATTGTTCTTAACAGTTTAATCTAAATCGCAATATGTTCGTATATATTCCGGAAGTATTAGACTGTGATCCTTCCAGTAAGTACGAGCTTCTACCCAGCGAGGCTGTTTTCACTGGATAGTTTGAAGGGTATCTTACAGGTAAGTATGAAAATAATCATTTTTGTATTGTGTGCCTGTTTAACGACATTCTTCTTCTTGTATTTTTGCGTCTTCGACATGGTTCTTCGATTCTTTTTTAAGATAATAGGTTATGTTCGCGGTACGTCATAAGAATACAGATAAATATTTATTATAGACATGGAAAACAACGCAGAATTTAAAGACGAAGTGGAGATGGTAGTCGAACCTAATGACAATTTAGAAGACGAACTACCTCGGCAAATGAAAAAACGCATCCATTTGTCTTCGAATACTAAACAAATTGTTTTGAATGTTTACAATTTTATAAGAAATTCAGAAGAGGAAGTAGGAGCAGCAATAAAAACGAGTGACATGACCGAAGTCAACTGCAAGAGGAAAGTGAGAGAAGATGCTAGTACTTCGCGGGTTGATCATTGCTGAACAGTGCTGCGATTTTGTATATAAATAATAATACTATGTAGAAATGTAATGAAATGGAACATAATAAATTGTTCTAATTTGTACTATTTTTTTATGTACATGTTTCAAGAATTGCTCGGCGAAAAAGATTGGAAACATACTTATTAGTGTAGGTAGATAAATTCCTAGGACGGTCCTGGAATGGTTACGGGTAAGGGACTGCCGTTTTTGCAGTAATAAACGGTAGGCAAAGTTTATCGCGGAGTCGGATGTAAAAGCACTATATCTCTGGTCGAAGTTTATTTATTAATTACAATATTTACAGAACCATAACTAGGATGGGGCACAGTTAAATTTTGCAGAAAGATTTACAGACTGGATTAATGCCAGTAAACACTGATTAAAAATTAAATGACAATCGTGTACATGTAAATGACACTGTCAAATATTTAAGAGTCTATCATCTTATTCCTACCAGATTCTTAGTTTTGAATGAATCAGTGGCAGCCTTGAAAACAGTCCATGCGTCGGTCATGATTAGATGTTATTTTCACGTGAAATGTTGAATGTGTATTTTTGTTAAAACAGTTTTATTGTTTTGATGGCGATTATGAAGCTATTGAATAGGGTTTTAGAGAAAAGAGGAATGACACACATATGCTGTCTGTACAGGGTGTCTGCGAAAAACTAAAATAAATATAAATAAAAACGCAAATCGTTAGACAAATATTTTCCTTTAATAAATTTAATGGAAAACTTATGCAATGACGTGCAGAAAATAAATTTAGGTAGATTCAGATTATTAGAATTTTTTTGTCTCGTAACATTTACGGTTTTCAAATATAAAAATGAAAAGCATTGCAAGATTTTAGTGCGTTTTGTACCAACTTTTATCATTTATCTTCTAAACAGTTACAGTTTTAAACATAATTTGTCAATAAGCGTTTCTGCATAAACTATGAACATAAAAACACTTAATTTAAAAAATATACAATGGGCATGACACCAGACACAAGGCAAAATAAGAACGCAATTTGTATAGTAAGTATTGGAAATATCTGCGCTGGAATATGCCTGCAATTGTTCGAATTCTTAGGTCGTCAATAGTGGGGACGAATTCTTTTATAAGTTTCCCAGATATAATAATCCAAAGGATTTAAATATTTTCCTATCCAACGGTTTTCATACGTACGAAAGGACCTAATAAAATAGGACTCCTAAAGGTAGAAAATGTCGCCCAGTTGAATGAACACCTATAATTCCTAACCAAACGATTTTTTTTTCTCCCTGATATTGTCCCTCCTGTTCCGTTTTGTAATTTAAATGTCTCTCTCTTTCCTTCTTCAAAGTTTCTCCTCAGTTCTTCGATGCTTCTATTTCTTCCGATTATATCATTTTCTCTACTGTCCTGAGGGTTCCTTTTTTTCATTTTTAATTTTGTTTCCGGGCTAAGTTTTCTCCCTTTTTCAGTTTTTATTGTTTATTATTTTGTTAACAACCCGATTTTCACATAGTGTTGTGAATTGAATTGTTTCTGTCTGATATTATCTCTCCTGTTTCGTTTCGCTTTCGTACTCCTGTTTCTTTCGGTTGCGTGATTTTCCCTTTGTATTTTCTGATGATTTGATGTTCACTTGTTGACGCAAATCGGTTTGATACACTGCCATCTTCAGATATGTGTTTCTTGTCCGATGAAAAATGGTAACGGAGCCTATTTGGTGTAATAGGCCGACACCAAACTTAAGCGGACTAGATTTGCCGTTTCATCAGCCTATGGATACCACCAATGCCTAAGCACCATTTATCGCCCGATTCGTCTCCAAATAACACCGGCTTACCTATTTATAGAAGTGATTACTCCGGTTCTTACCAACCACTGTTCTTGGCGGTTCTATTTATAGAGAAGGTGTGTGTGTGCGTGTGTCTATATAAATGTACGTATACCTCGAATCCGCGACGGCCTTGACTTGTCTCGATTTTCGACGACGACGTCGTTATTTTCGTTTTATTAGTCAACTTATTCGATATGTATTCCTATTAGTCGGACGAGGAAGCAATTAAATTCGTTTCCATCTGTTGCGAAAGTGTTTGCCTATTTTCCGAGGTATTTTCGAATGGTAATTTGTGCATTTTAATGCTAAATAGAAAAGACCGGAAACTTTTCATAGATAACTAGATTGCATGTAGAAATGTCACCCTCACACGCTACGGGTAGCTCAATTACCTGCCATCCTCAATGCACTGGAAGAAAGTACAGTCGACATTGATATTCAGATATGATAAGGAACGTCTATGAAAACGCCATATCAACCATACATGCAATTTAGCTACCTATAAAAGGTTTCCAGTATTTTCTATTTAGTTCCAAATTTTTAGCTCTTACCCATGGGCGTCCCCTCTTTTTCAAAATCTTTCCCAATGTGCTGTCACACGTTCCTCTTATCCGTTTTCCCCGCATTTTACTCTGCCAAACTCTTTTAACCGGTCGAGTGCTGGCCAATCTCTGTAAATGGCCCCACCAGCCAAGTTGTTTGAATTCTTCTGTGGATTCCACCTTTAACTATTTGTCCCTTCTGGTTATTCCTTTCACTCTCCTCAAGTATTTCATCTCTGCTGCTCCAATTTTATTCTTGTCCCTATCTGACGATATGTTGGTCTGTAAGTCATTTCATTTTAGTTTCCTTGGAAATTTCCTTTTTATATACGAGCCCCTTACTCAGTGCATGGCATACCTGATTTGCCTTTTCTGTTCTATAATTTAATTCTGTATCCTGTCCTCCTGTCTCTTCGAACATAATTCCCAAGTACTGGAAGCTACTAACTTGGTGTATTAATTAGTTATTGTTTAAAGTGAACACGTGATCCTGGTAATTCAGCCTTTCCGGAACCCACTTTGCGTTTCTGTTAGAGCGAACTTTAGTTCGCTGAGTTTCATTTAGATGCGCCACGTTGACTTTCTGTTGCTCATAAAGAGTAGTCCAAAAAAATGTGTTAGGCTCAAAAAAAAAATCTGGCTATCTATTTGTTTTCATTCGCGGGAAACTCGATATGTGTATGAAATGACACGATTATTGTTAGCAAAACACTTGTATCGATTGTATGTATGAAACCTCACGCAGTTTGAAATATTAACGAGTGGATTACGAACGACGTGTCTTCTGAGCTGTTTTTTTCCACCTTAACCTATTTGGCCGTCGTATTCGTAGGCGGGGTAATAGGTTTCGAATTTTTTTTCACCGCGCTCCCTTGACCGTCGACGTGTTTGACCTTTCCGCGTTTTATTTATAACCATGGCTATGACCTTTCGCGCCGTTATCCTTGCTCTATGTCATTACGCGTAGTATCTGCGGTTTTTGGATGTGCCTCGATTTTGAACCACCCTGTATATACAATATTTGTTGCAGGTCCGAGGGAATGGATACGGGATCTGATTCGTCGACAACGAACAACGATTTTCCACTACGGAAAACCGGTATGTTCCCTTTCTTTGTAAATATTTATTTCTCAAATTAATATTTTTTTGTATTGTTAAGACAAGATGAAATATTATATGTTTTTATAAAAATAAATGTTTGGCTATTTAGCCATCATCGTGGGGGCGTGGTATGATCTAATACTAGTACTTAAAAATCATCTATTCCAAAGAGAAAAGAAAAATAAAACAATACAGATTTCTATTTTATCTGCCTAAAGGAAAATGCTATTTTGCAAATTGTCCACCTGATGGCCATGTGAGCAAAGATTATTTTCCATTTCTGGCGAAAATATTGATTTCCGATCGAGTTTGATCCGGGCTACAATTTCATTAGTTTTTATAGCTGCAATGATATTTTTTGTATCCCAGTTAAACGGAAATGGCCCTTATAATTTTAAGTCTTCTTATTGTGTATTACCTAGTAGTGTAGCACACAAATTTAAACAGAACATGTATTATATATTTTATGTATACAAAAAGGTACACCGAGATACAAAAAATTGTCAATATTCAATAATTATCCCTAGAGGTTTAAAAAAAGAAACAATTTATTTACTAAGATTTTCACACATGTTTACAAACCTGTTACCTTAGTAAAAATTCATCTATATACCGGGTGACACAATAAAGTGGGAACACTCTTATAACTTTTAAATTTTCGAATTTTAAATGGCACAACTTACATTTTTAGGGCGGTTTTCCATTTGTTTAAGATTTGTTTAATTTCAGAAAATTGTTTACGTGATCATGGGAAAAATTGTAAATGAAACTTTTCTTTTCTTGTCTAATATTTTTTTAGGATAACCTGGTTTTTTAAAATGGCACCCTAGTGCGAACAAAAACTTTTTAAAGTCGGTACTTTTTTTGCATCATTTTCAAAATACGTTAAAAAATAAGCTCAAAAGGAAGAAAAAAAAAACAGATAGATAAATACATTTTTATCAAACCAAAATATTACTTAGGCGGCTATTAGTAGTATTTATGATAGTCAAGCCTGCTGAAATGAGAAAAACCGTGCTATCCTACGAATGATCTCCTGAATCCAAAAATGCAAAAAAAAATAGGTTGTGCCATTTAAAATTCGAAAGTTATTGTCAAAAAATTGGACGTTCAACCTACATTTTTTAAAGTTTGTTAGCCTAAAGTAATAGGGTAAATTGTAAAAGTAAAATTTTGGTCACTTTGCACTGAAGCTTGCGAAATATGAAAAATGCTATATATGGTAAAATAATTTTTGAAATAATTTTTGATATTGTTTTTCTCTAGGATTTTGTCCACGATGTTGGTCGAATAAACGTTATTTAAATATGTAATTCGTTTATAGTAGATTCAATACTACTGTAAAAACTTAAATTTATGTGCAAGAAGGATTTGGAATGGCGGTATCAGTGTGAAAAAGTTTATGAAATATCTAAAAAGTTATTAATTATTAATTATCTTCTTCTGTTGTACGTTTACATATTATGGTGCAAATTATTAAGAAGGTTAAAATAATTGGATAACTGTCTATCAGTGCCAGTAAAACCAGTTAAAATGTTAAAGAATCCATTAAAATGTCAGCTACTATCGGACTCCGAACAGTGTAGATATAAGATATTTTAGGTCCTGTGTGGTATCCTTTATATACTTATATATTGGAAAATTTGTTACATAAAAAAAGAGTTTATTGGGTAGTTTTAAATTTTATTTGCTAATTCTGTGGGATTTGGCTGTAAAATGTGTTCTTATAATATTAATGAAATATTAGATATTGTGTGCGTATTGTTTCTTTGTTAAACTTTTTAAGCTCGTTGGCGATTTAAAATTTCCCGAATTTTACCGAAATGTGTAATCAAGAATCAAGAACGAGATTGTGCCCATAGTTTTAGGTTTTACCGCCGAGGTGATCAGATCAATTTTACCGCTCACTTTACAAAGCATATCTCGCATATAGTCAATTGGTGATAAGTTAGGTGACCTTGGATGCCACGGAATGTCTGGTAGACGCGATTCAGTAGTTTGATCATTTTGATCGTTCCAGATGGCATATCATTCGAAACCAACTAGCTCAAATATATATTTGTTTAGTACTTTTACTTAATATGAAATTTCGCCACTCCAACAGGTTACGCCACTGGTAGGATCCGCTTATCGGGTACGTTAACAATTGATTGTGCAATGGTTTGTACGTTTCAGCCTCCGAGCCTAATCTGCTAAAGGTACGTTTGAAGCAACGCGTAATGGAACGTAGGAGTAGCCCAATGAGTAAAAGACTTCCGCCCTCGCTCAAGAAGAAACTGCTGAGCTCGTGTTTGCCGCCGAGTGAATCGCCTCCGCAGGAACCGCCGAAGGTAAGGGAGGCTATAACATGTCTACAATACGGCCACCTATATAAACAAATACTAGTTTCCATCCAAATATCGAGGCACGTTTATTATTAGGTGCTTGTTACATTGCAAGTTATATTCTCGAAAGTATCCTGGAAAGTATTGAAGTTTAGAGGTGATTTTTATGATGGGCGCATCATTGCCTCGTGTCGTCTTCCAGGAACTGAGTCCTCCGTGTGAGGCCGAAGAATACCAGCGGTTACCGCTATTCAGTAGCCCGTCGATGCCGAACATTTCGTTGGCCGCGCACCACGTGCTCAGTCCTGACCTGTCCGAGGCTGCGGTTAGGGCGGCCTGTACGGCACGTCTGGGCATGCCGCTCACGGGGCAAATGTTGCCCGGAACCCTGCCCTTTTATCCCTCGTTGCCGGCGATCGAGAGCGAACACGAGGAAACCCCTCTGGATACAATTAGCGAATTACAGGTGAGTTCTTTCGAAGATTATATACGCGGCGTGTTTTGACATCGAAAAGACGTTATACTTCGACCAGAAATATAGTGCTTTCACAACCGACCCCGCGATTAACTTTGCCTACTGTTTATTACTCCAAAATCTGTAAGATAAATAGAGTACTTACCCTTTAAACTATCCAGTGCAAACAGCCTCGCAGGGTCAAAGATCGTGAACCAGGTACATAAATACGTACTTACTGGAAGGATCACAGTCAAATACCCCTTTAATATATACCAAGATTAAATTAAACTCTTAAGAACGATACATATCATCCGATGTTAAAATAAATGCTTTTAATTGTTCGAAAAAAACAAATCAATCAATCTAATTTAAAATGATCTATTTACGTTACAAATAAAAATTTCAAGTTCCTACAAATATCCATCTATGGCAAGACCTACTTAATGCAGAATAAACTTCTGTTGGGATGGGTTTTACAACGGTTAAACGTCAAAGCAATAAGTGCGCTATATTTTTGGTCGTACTATAATTTGTCGGCGTTGAAAAATGAAAATGAAAACGTTGATCGATTGATAAGGCACAAAGCAAAAGCGGGCTTTGACTTAATAAAGAAAACTTTTTTATTATCTGATAAGTTAATCTTCTTCTTATTCTTTAAATCATTTTCTTAGGTTTTGAAGCCAGGAGATACGTCTTCGTCCTGTTCCCCTCTTGCCATACATTTTTCCTTTTAAAAATAATTGGAGGAGGCTATATCGTTGTTTATTCGTCATAATATGGCTTGGGGATTCCAATTGCCCTTTTTTTAATTGTTGTTATAACTTTTTTGAGTTCTTCTTTATTGCTCATATGTTTTATAGTATTTAGATGATCTTTCATGAACTGTTGTGCAATTTGTTTTATGCGTGCGTTTTTTAGTTGTCTCATTTCGTGTTTTTTGTTTTTTATTTGCTGAATTTTCTTTAAGTTTTATTGTTGTATTCTACCAAGGAGTAAGTTGTGATTTGGCTTGATGTCGACACCACATGTATCTTCACTGATGTTCCGAAATCTTTTGTTAAATTAATTAATTAAATACGTTGTGGTTCTACTATTACCTTAGGTTTTGATAAGGTAGATCTTAAATTTGAAGCAATAAAATTGGTTAGGCCAGTGTCAGAATTTGTAAGAAGTATATTGTTGTTTGTTGCAGTTAACTCTCAGGGCATAAATGAACTAAAGAGCGATACGCATAGAATTTTAACTGTTGCTTCAGTTTTTATATTAAAATTACTTACTTTTACTTTTAAAAATAAAACTGAATTAGAATCATTAGGCTCATACAACACTCGAGGCAGGAACAACATGCTGTTGAATAAATTAAAAATAATTTTAATTCAAATTTGAAGAAATTTATGAAGATCGGTAAATGAAAGATTAAAAGATGTAATATAAGGTTATAAAACATATTTTCTCTGCTTTTTTTCTATTTGACTTTAAATATAATTTTTTATCGACAGAAAATTAAAATGGCCAAAAAGCTTAGTTAAACTTGAAGAAAGAAACAATGAGGTACAAAATTTTGAGAAACCATTTTAAAAATTGTTTACGTCTGTTTTGAAATTTTATGGATTTTATTGTGATAATATAATTTCTCACTTTTTGGAAAAAAGTTCTAAGTGTTTTTTATATATTATTTTTACTTAATACTTAGTCGGTCACAAATTAAATTCTGGTTTATTAATTAGAACGTTAATTACTTTGGGTTTTTCTCATTCCCGCAAGAACGGTGGAATTTGGATATAGGGAATGTTACAAATACACTACAATACAACTTTAAAAGCAATCCAGAAATAGGATAATAACATTCTTCCTATTCTATTTAAATCAAGAAAGTTAGGTCTCTTAGGGAAAAAAACGTGAATGTGGCAACGTTGCCTGCCACCGTTGGACCCGTCCTAATTAGATACATCTGTGTACCAAATTTCATAAATTGAAATCTTAAGTCTTAATATGTCTATGTGTCTATGTTTATAAAATATAAAAATATTTATAAATTTACTATTAAATTTTTGTAGTAACTGGGGGCGATAATATGGTATATAAATATCTTCGGAATATAATTCGGGTTCTAGTGTTTGACTGAAATGATTTACAAATAAACACCAATTAAAATAGACTTCCGTCTTCAAACATGGCTCAGGGGAATTAAAACTTTACGATGAGTTGTTACGTTGCCGGTTAATTATATTTAGAAAAATTGAAGCTTAAAAATCAACAAATTTCAACGGTGCTTGTTTTATGTCGACGCCGTTTTAAAGAAACATAGAACGCAGAAAAAAACACAGAATAATTTGACAAAATGGCCGCGAATCCCGGCCAAAAACTTTTAATTCGTTTCGCGCCAACTAACTAACGATTGATTGAACCTCAATCGAAAATACAAGGAAAAGCCATCAAAATTCGTATTTATTTAGTGGTCGCTTTTAACTATATAACTAACGAATCCAAAATTCGAACGGTTTTGTGTGGGCCGATGATTACTCTTTGATGTGTCGATGCTTGTCGGGAGCGTAGACGAGATTAAGCAGCATCACATATTACTGCAGAAGGTTTTTGACTAGTTTCACCTGTTCATTGTCACATCAGGCGCCACAGGGTTCTAATTTTGGGCCACACAGTGGTGTCTGGCTAATAGACTCGATCTCAACACCCACGTTATTTCAGTTATTCAATAAAAGGCTCCACTTTTGAACAGACTACAGGGACTAAGGGACCTTGGAGTTGTTTTAATGAAACGTTTACGTTTATCGCTCGTATCTGTCGGTGGTCTAGAACTTTGATTTCGCTTGGCGAGACTGTAAACAATTTCCTAATATTTAAACGGTTGTATTTATTCTATGCGAGGACTAAGTTGAATTTCGGTTCAATCATAATAAAAGCGATTTTAAGCTCTGATAAAGCCAACATGACGCAAGAGGAATGGAAAACCCGTGACTAAAGTACCGGAAATGAAAGTGGCTTGCGACCGTGAGACGCATTTTAGAGTAAGCAGTAGAAAAAGGTTAATTTTAATGCCAATCTCGTGACTTAAAACCACAAATTGTTGCTAATGTAATTTCCCATTGCTCGTCGATTATTTATTGAGTTATTCTAATACGGTAACTATTTCGTGAAGTGGCGATAACTCGAATTTTATTTATGTGGTCCAACACTTCAGAATAATCTTTATTTTTAATTGCGCCCTTTAAACGTAGAGATAACAATAAGCGAAGCAATTAATTTGAATTAATTTGAATAACTGATAAATAATATTGGTTTGATATTTCGTACATTGAAATTTATTGGCAGTTTATTATGGAACATATGCCTTCGAACTTCCTTTAGGGATCACTCTTAACGACCTGCCAACAATTCTAAATATGTATAGGGCGTCCAAATATTATAACATTATTTTACGGAATCCTCCTTTATCAAAAAACCTTGTTTAAAGCATTGTTGCAGACCGGATCAGAACAATTCTTCAGCCGTGAAAGGCGAGAGATTTGGGGATATCACTTAGATCCCGGTCACTTTTCAACTATGTACAGGGTGTATCCGTTATAGGCAAAAAACTAACAAAAGTAAAATGCGAGGCAGCGTCTTCTTATTTTGCGAAAGTAGTTTAGTCAGTTTAGATGACACGAAACCAATGTTCGATTTATGCAGGAACCTCAATCCAGAGGGGTTATCAGGCCCCTGGGCAGGACGCAGTCCTCCCCTCTACCTCTGGGACACCCGTTGCTCCGGGGACCCCCTCTCCCAGAACCGCCCGAGCCGCCCCAACCCCCGCCCGAGGAGCAGGAGCAGCGAGATCTCGAGCTCAGGGCGAACGAATCCAGAAGGTAGGTTTTTAAATTAATAAGAAACTCTTCCAAAGAAAACGACGATGTTGATCGTTAAACGTTAAGGCGTATATGGGGGGGGGCGGCGGGGAGGGCAGGAATTATGTTTGCCCGTTGGGGTAATATTTCAAGGAGAAGGATCGGATTGGTTCGAAAACGGCGTCCTTGCGGCCTTTTTTAATATTCTAAATATAGCAAAAATCAATAAAGCATGTAACGACCACCTACCGGTACAAAAATAGAATCGGTTGGCTGAAAATTGAACCGCGGGAACGGGAGCGGCGTTGCCGCTTTGCGCGTCGTCGCTCGATTTTTGTTTTTTTTTCAAAAATTTGAATTTATTTATTTAGATACGTCGTTCAACAGGATAAATCCAACTACAAAACGGGAACTTAAGTGACAAATTAAAAAAAAAAAACAAACGAACAGCAAAATGCGCATACAGCGTAAAATGAAACAAAAATAATTATGTGCCATTCCTTAAAGAACGAACGAATAAAGAACGTTAAAACATTCGTACGCGGCGTAGAAACGTTAAAGGTTTGATCTACTCCTGAGCTAACCCTGGAAACACCACCACAGTTCAATTTTGATAAGAGGTCAGGACCGACAACCCGATTACGAATAATTTTGTACGTTATGCCTATTACGAAGCGAAGTATTGCTTATATCAAAGACAAAAGTGTCTAGAATTTTCGTCGTACAAATTCCGGCTTCGTTAAATGGTTTTGGTAAAACGGGCTCCATATAATATCACCGTATTCTAATTTAGATCTAACAAATGCGCGATTTTGATTGATTTATGATGATGATATTGATTATGTATCTTCGTGACATTACATTTGATGGGATTTAACGACAAATTATTATGGACAGTCCCGAATACTATCAATTTTGCGGAACAAGTTTAAATCGTCAACGTACGTCAACACTTTCATTAATAAGAATATTAAATAGAAGGGGGCCTAAATTGCTGCCTTGAGGTACACCGATATACTCTTCAAACTCGAGTCCACCTTAGAATAAGTATGAGTATGATCAAGTCAGTCAAAAGCCTTCGAAAAATCGGTATAGAAGAAGAAAGAAAGAAAGAAAAAGAAGAAAATAGAAAAAGTTCGAGATCGCGAGTCTAGATTTTCAGCTATCACTTGTGTGATATTTGAAATGTTGTTTTGATGTCTTACTGTTTTTTAAATGATTGAGTTGTTGTGGAGGAGAAGCAACCGAGCACATTAATTTAAGCAAAAATAAATGAAAACGATATATTTTATATACCGTATTCCGTGATCGGTTTTGATTTAAACCTCTTATCTATTTTTATTTGTTATTACTATTATTGAGAGGGTTTTCTGCTACATGTTTCATAAACTTCCTTTACATCTATTTTCTTTCTTTTCTTTAATTTAATTCTCACACTACTAGCGGTCTCTATCGGTTTTGTGTCGCATTACTGTTTTTTATATCTAAAAAATTCTCTATTTAAAATTTGGTAAATTCAGTTGAAGTAAATTGAACGGTCGCGTTGTCCCGCCCTCTACCACCGGTTTTCGGGAGTGAAATGACTTTATGTTTCGACACCATAATTGGATTAATATCTCATTTTGAGGCGCTGATCGTGACCATAAGTAAGTCCCTCGCAACTTTGTATCACTCATATATATTGATTTCGATTTAATAACTGTCATTCTACAAAAATAAGTTTCTCAAAAAAAGCGTAAAAGAAAAAAAATTGAAATGCAGTCCACTAGGCAATCAAAATAATGAGCTGCCGAGGTGCACGAAACATTTGAGTAATATCGCGGCAAGTGGACCACAACTTGATCATAAAAAATTAATCTATATATATTTTTTATAAGTACTTATGACGGAAAATTGATCGAACGATTTTTTAAAATGTTGATTTTAACTTTTTTTTTTGTAATGAAAATTTTGAGCACTTTTAATTAAAAAATGGATTACAAATCAACCGTAAGAGATAAATTTAGGAAATTTTCAGCATCCATGGTCAAACTTAAAATTATTTATTTTCGTATTTTTAACTAAATATCAAGTTAACAAATGAAAATTAAACTGATTTTTTGGTAAACAAAAATCATGTTTAAGATTTCGGAAGAAAATTTCACTGCTCGTCATTAGTTTAAACAAAATGAATTTATTTATGACAGCGCGCCGAGCGCTGCCGAGTGTCTCGAACTGCATTGAAGGTTTTATCAGTGATAATTTAAAATGATAATACAAAATATTATTATAAAACAAATTGTATTATTATTTACGTTATTTTGTTATAATTATTATGAATAAAATTTTATTTTTTTAACAATATTAACAATCATAACATATTGCCGAATAAATTAAATTGTAAATTTGTCGTCAGTTATTTTTTTTTTCTTCTTTTTTAAACTTTTTTTTTTAATAAATACTTTTTCATCCTCTGAAACGAGCCTGCCTTTAAAATTACTACAATTAAAAATTATGATACTCAAACATTAACTAAAAAAACTACTACTAATAATTATTTCATACTTTGCGTATAAACTTATGTCTAGGATACGCGAAAAACAAGTGAAAATCGTAACGGAGCGGTTTTTCTTTTGTTAAGTGAAGATGGAGTGTTGATTAGTAACTTACTAAATTGCGTAGAAAAAATAAATATAGACCATAACAGTTTTAAAATTTTAAAGTTGATTATTTTTTTTCTAAATTTACGTTACTGTTTGGTGAAAATAATAAAAAAAAATTGATAGTATTCTTTATAGCATTGAAAAAAAAATAAAAATCAATAATAATTATAATATAATAACATAAATAATAAAATTTGTTTTATAATAATATTTTGTGTTATTGTTTTAAATTATCACTGATAAAACCTTCAACGCAGTTCGAGACGCTCGGCGCCCGGGGCGCTATCATATACATATACAGTGGCCAAACAAAGTGTAAAAAAAATGGATTTTTTTTTGTCGTAAAAATTGTCGCGAGGATCTAATACGGAGTCATTTTTATTCAACCGGCAACGGTGCATTTGGCGCCGCATCTCGAGACGGCGCCTAACCTGATGATGAACACCGACACTGTATAGAAACGTAATTAATCAAGCCGGAATTTAAAGGAGAACTAATAAAAAGCACTGTTGCTTATATAAATTCCCTCGTAGAATTCATTACCGTCATGTCGTCTTTTTTTTGTGTTTCAATATCGTTAGAACTCGCGACTTTACACCCCTTTCTGTGTGTATTTTTCTATTTCACACTGGCCAACACATAAATTTCATCAACCTCCTTATGTTTTTCATTGTAAACGTTCGCTCTGGCTTTTATGAAAAAGCCAAAATGTATTTACCGTAACTAACCAAAAGTTATTTCGTTCGATTTTTAGTTAATGCATTTGAAACCTGTTGAAACCTGTAGCTTATTTTGGCTGTCTGCTTTTCGGATATGTATGGTAAGATTTCGGTCCCAAAGAGGGAAGGTCGCGAAAAGTTCTATCTCAGATGGTTACCGAAAAGCTTTCTGATTACAAGGTACTTTGCCGTTACGTTAAAATATCAAATCAAGTACCAATACTCATTTAGATGTTTTTTCATGAGATATCGTGCTGATATTGAACGTTTCTATACGATTAATTGAACTGAGGTGGCTTTTACTTGACGAAAGTGCATTTAACAAAATAAATAATAACTAAAAGTTCAGGTTTTCACGAAATTATGTATTTTGTTTCGACAACACCGTGTCTTTATCAAATGCAATATTTACAAACTACCTGCTACTATATATATATCGAAAAATGACCAAAAACCTTAATTAATATTGTTGTGGGAATTTAAGTTTAATAATGGCGAGGTATTTAAATCTAATTGATAGTTAAGCAATACATTTGTATATCTCATAACTAGAATCTAGACTATTGCTTTTAAACGCTCTTTTATGTTCGTTAATGCGTGAAAATATATAATATCCTGAAAATCTGAACTTTTAGTTCTTATTTATTTTATTACTATACGAAATACAAAGTATCAAACTTGCCGGGTAGTTATATATATCACAGATTTTCGAGTTACGCTATACTAATGTGGTTATACGGTAACGTTTTTCATCGGTAACTTCGTGACTATTGTAATTTTTTAAAAGTTTTTCTTCATTTTTCAGTTTACCTAGTACCTCATCTTTTGTTCTCGTTATAAACTGTTAATTCATTTATTCCGACCAATATAACAGTTTTTTAAGGATTCAGAATTCCGGTTGCTTAATGCGAAAATCCCACTTCTGAAATATATTACGTAATACCGAGCCCGGTTCGGTCACGTACGAACGGCGCGTCAACGAAAGTTTCCATGGCAATTCTTTGTAGCGACATCCAGAGCTGGTAAATATAAGTCGGCGCGTCAAGCTTACGAAGAACTCGGTGGTGATATAACGTCCAAATCGATTTGTTTGCGCAACGATGTAAATTTATACTTTTAACTAAAACACGTGCGTTAATTTTGTATTTATTTTTGGATTTTCACTTGGGTCCCTATAATAAATTATATTACAAAGTAAGCATTCGGTTTTTTGGACTTTTGCTGGGTATCTCCCTCATTTCTATAGATAGCAAGTTGCCGTTTTCGCAACAGTATGTTTTCGAATAAAACTAAAAATTATTCGTATAGATTTTTTTTTTCAACTTTTTATAAAAGAATTTTGGAGTTTTTATATAACAGTAAGTTTGTGACAGCATTTTTTTAGCATAAGTTAAGAAAATAACAAACAAAAGAAAATATATTTTGAAAAAAATGGCACATACCATTAACTGAAGTTCTGCTATGCCGTCATATCGTATTTTGTAAACTAGACAGGCGTGGTCATATCGGAAACTATAGGAGACAGTTGTATTTTTTATTTCTATCCGTAAAGTCCAAATTAGGAAACCTTTTTAAAAAGAATATGATGACCCATTTCCATATAGATTTTTTTAATAATAGAATTAATTTGTTATTAGATAAAAATGCTTTTAATGACTCTTGACGTCACAAAACCAAATTTCATTGTTTTTTCTGTAATATAAAAATGTTCTTCGTTAATAATGTAGTTATCCATAGATCATTTAATTCAACTTTTTGTATTCAAGAGGTGCGGCAACTGTCATTTCATCACTCACCAGTGGCCAACTAAATTATTTTTGACTTATTCTGGCCTTGATGAACAAAATAACTATAACATGCCATATATTTTTGAAACCGGCGTAAAGGGGCATTTGTTTTTAGGGAATCGTATACAGAGCGTGCCAAATAAATTCCGTCACTCAAGTGGCGTTTACCGCATAATGTACTATTTTAATTTCAATTATTTCTAAAAGTAAAAGTCAAACAGATGGTTTGAACCAAGTTGTCACAAAATATGATGTGTAAGGGAAACCTTGACGTGCCCACTTTTTCATAATCATAAAGTCAGTGGCTTTTTTGTTTTTCTTCAGTATTCGGCCGTTGTCTAGGGCCTTAAGTTCGCCGGTGGTGCATCTGGGAACGCCAGAGGGCGTGGCTCCGGCGCTGAGCAGGCGGCGAGCGTCGTCGGCCCCCACCACCGGCCTCGCCTACGACAACCAAATGCTTAAACACGCATGCGTATGCGGCAACAACGCTATCCATCCGGAACATGCGGGTCGCCTACAGAGCATATGGTCCAGGCTGCTCGAAACGGGACTGGTGTCGAGGTGTGACCGCCTGAGGCCCAGGAAAGCCACCACTCAAGAACTACAGACCTGTCATTCGGAAACTCACGCGCTTTTGTACGGAACCAGTTCGATTAATAGGTACGTCGAATTCATTCGATATTTCGTCATACTTTGAAGGAAAAGTTGGCGCCAAAAATCTACAGGTTGAATTGCGGATCTTGTCCTAAAATTTGTATTGGACAAACTGAACTTTTAGTTCTTATTTATTTTGTTCAATTGTTTTCTCTTTCAGAAGACATTTTTAAATAAGGAGAACGTAAGTTTTGCTAAAACTGTAACTGTCAGTTGCAAAACGAAGTTTCTTTTTTTTTGACTACGGCCCGCCTCACAGCCGCCTAAGATCTAAATTATAAATTCTAGAAGATTATTCTGTTTTCTAATGTTGTTTTTAGATCAAAAGCGCATATATCTCAAAAACCATTGGATATATTATAGAAGAAATGTCCCCACATTTCTTGTATAAGATGTATAGCGCATAATATACGAGGTGTTCGATTAAAAATATATGACTTACGTGTTGGTGATGTCTGCAACACTCTACATAAAAAGATATCTTGCAAATAGCTTATTATTTTTTGAACAACTTTTGTAATTGACTTTTTTATTTGCAAACCTTAAATAAATGATCACACACAACACATCTAAATAGATGTGCTACGTATTTTGTCTGCATGTTTTTTTTTTACAAATTTTAAATGAGTTGTATTTCTGAAACAATATTTCTCTCCGTCACATTCAATTCATGTTCTTAAACTTAAACTTTGGGTACCGTTATGCTGGAAAATGCGAATTTTCTTTTCATCTGTAAGCCTGCGGAAAATTTTTGTAACTAAATCATATATTAAGCGGCGATTAATAATCTCGATAATTAAAGAACTCGTTCCGCTCGTTAAAATATCTGCATTAATAATCGCGTATAATGATCGTAAGGTTGTAAAGTAGGTTTTCAAAAAATAGTTTTCCCTGAATATCTCGTCCTTTTGGCGATTTTGCTGAAACTTTATGGCATTAATTTATCACCAATTTTTTTTTTTAATTTTATTTTTATAAGTTTTTTTTTGTAAGTTTATTAATAAAAAAAAACAGTTTTTGTACCTGAATATCTTTAAAAATTATCTTAAAAAAAAGAAAACATTGCAAATTTGTTGTTTTTTAGTTGTTATTCCAGGGATCTTGTCGATCATCGTTTTCTTATTGATGAGATTGAAAAAAAGAGGGATTAATTGGGACATACTTAAGCAACCGGGGACAGTACGTAACTACAGAGGACCGCAGTAGCAGAGTAATTGTGGGGTCCCTCAGGGTCCCGTCTTCGGGCCACTTTTGGATAAGTTGTATGTTTCGAGCCTGCGCTTGGCTGAATTGCAAGGACAATATTATACATTTGCAGATGATACGGTCTTTATATATACATAAAAGAATTGGCAAATATAGCAAACAACAACGACGCCACAACTGGCTATTAAATAACAAATTAAAAATTAGAAAAATAATAATAATTTTACTTTGGAAAGAGAAAGAGAAAAAAATAAAAATAATATGTTAAAATTTGAATCTAAACTTATGTTTAAAATAATACAGAACAAAACCAAATGCCGCACCAAAATCACCCGTATCAATGAAGTACACTCGCACAACTTAAGAAGTCAAATAGCCACACCTCCAGATTGTAAAAATAAAAAAATATTTATGAAAGAAATAATACATTTCATTAAATTCTTGCAAGATAATTCAGTCTAGATAGTATAATGGTGTATTACAACATAATTATAAAATGTGTCTGACAGAATAAAGGATTATTAAAAAAAATTCTGAACTTTAGTGATTGCAAGAGATAATAGTGGAAATTCTCAATATAAAAGTGAAGATGCGTTTGCCTATAGAAATTGTAGTCGTAGATTTATGTGTGAAATGTAGGGCGACACTATACAAAAATTGAGAGTCGCGATTCGTACGAAATGATTTTAACAGTGACATTAGGGTCTCCCTCGTTGAACAGTAAACTCTCGCTTCATTTAGGAGTTATTAAAAGAAAATTAACCTGACTGCACTGGAGGTGTAAAAAGATTCACTACACTTAGAAAATTTAGGGTAAAAGTGGGATAGATGCCCCACTTTTTGTAAGCTGACTATAACTTTTTTTTTTAAGCACCACTCGAGTGAGTTAACTATTTGTAACAACTATAGTCCTTATGCTTACTATCTACTCATATCATCATTCAATGCATACCGTAGATTTGTGGATATTCGACTCTAAAAAAATATTATAAGGTTTTCTTATCCAAATATACCGTAAAACTGAAGTAAATGGCACTTTTATAGGAACAAACGGCTCAGTCTTTCGATCATTCTTTGGGTAAAATTAGCAACTTAACAACGTCTATTAAAAATTATTTAAAACTTTACCGAACTAAATTTAGGAATAATAAAACTTAAAACAAATCCGTCCCTTAGGACTTCTTTGGAAAAAAACAAAGCTTCCTTCTTAAAAAAACCAGCAGTAATCAAAATTTTCAAATAATCAACAAATATAGAGATACTGTTTACCTTTGCCAGGTTACTTATTCTTTGAATTCACTTTGGCTAGGTTTAGTTTACGCATCAGGCACTGAACCCAGTCCGCCATGGACTTGGCACTTGCATTTCGAAAACGAAAGTTCTGAACACGTCACAATGTCACTGTCACAAGAATCACGCAAGCGCTGTAAAATTTTGCAACGTTTTTTTAACTCAAGCGGCGACACGTGTCGAAACGCCTGCGCAGACTGTGCTGTGCGGGGCGAGGTTAAACTCGTACTCGTCCGGCAAATTCAAAACATTTGTACAAGTAATCCATTTAATATGCTTTTCTAATCCCGTCTGTAAAGTGCCTAATTACACACCGATCTAGCGCTGGGGAAGCGCCACTTTACCGCGTCAGTTTAGTTTCCCACGGGTCTGAGCCACTTCGGACATTTCCGGCAGCGATCGGATGTTTTCGGAGATATCTCCCACGCCTTGAGTTTTGACGTTTGTCAGTTATGACGGTCATGTCAGTGAATGTATTCTTGCATGTGATCAGTTCTTCTATCCACGAAAAATCCGAGAGTCTATAGAAATCTATAAACAACCTAACAATCTTAACCGCGACTCAGGTTTCTACCAGTCGCCAATATGAGAATCATTCATCCAAGGTGTTTATGCCCCTCATTTAGCTCCGCCACCCTCAAACAATATATAAGCAGGCACGGCGGTCAAGCTCTGAAGAAGCCAACAGGACGATTGGCGAAACGTCAGCAGATTCAGCAGAAGTTTTGTAGAAAGTATTACAGTAGCCTGTGGACGATTCTTTGAAAAAAAAAAACTATTATTTATAAGTATTTAAAATGGTAGTATCTATCTGATTGCCGATGCTATCTACATTGTATTCTCAGTGTGACTTGGACCACGGGTAGTTAAAAGAATTTTGAGCTAACGGATACTTTGGGATTTTTGACGTTTCAAATTTGAGCGGGCGTCAGTAGTGTTGGGATTTTTCCGCTTTCCGCCAGTTCCGTTTCTTTTTGCAGGCACAAAGTCGACATGAGCAAACTGAGCGCTTTGCCGGTGAACGCGTTCGTCCGCCTCAACTGCGGCGGCATCGGCGTCGACACCGACACCACCTGGAACGAGCATTACACCGCGCCGGCGGCTCGCATGGCCGTCGGTTGCACCGTAGACTTGGCGGTCCGTACGTGGACCGGCGACATAAAGAACGGCTTCGCCATAGTGAGGCCTCCCGGTCACCACGCGGAACCGCAACAAGCGATGGGCTTTTGTTTTTTCAATTCGATAGCGATCGCGGCGAGGGTGCTGCAAAAAGAGCACCGGGTCAACAAGATACTCATCTTCGATTGGGACGTGCACCACGGCAACGGGACCCAAGAGATATTCTACGACGATCCGCGCGTGTTGGTACTGTCGATGCACCGGCACGACGACGGTAATTTTTTCCCCGGCACGGGCGGTACCGACGAGTGCGGCACGGGTGCCGGTACCGGGTACAACGTTAACATCGCGTGGTCGGGCGGTCTGAACCCGCCGCTAGGGGACGCGGAGTATTTGGCGGCGTTTCGCAGCGTACTGATGCCCATCGCCAGGGAATTCAATCCGGACATGGTTCTGGTGAGGGACATTAGATTCAAATTTTAATATACAATGGAGAATCATCGCGGAAAATATGTATGTACGAACTAAATACCTATAATGTTTTGGCTGTAACTTTTTGGTTTTTAAAGATATCAAGGTAAACCAAAGAACAAAATGTGGGGTTAGTGGCCGAGTTTTTTTTTCAACCCTATCAATTTTCTGACATATAAGCCTACGTCATATTTTTTTAAATCGCACACCCTCTAAATTATACATGCGTTCAATAGAATATCTTATTCCGATTACAATGACGTAACGCACTTTACATTTTAGTTCAATCGTTTCTGACAAATCGGCAAAAATCGGAAGAATTTTTTATATAATTTCAAAGAGTGCCCTGACTGACAAATAAAAATATGTTTGACATATTAGTAAACGGTTATTAGTATTAGTGGCGGAATCATAACGTTTTGAATGAAGAAAATAAGGCAAACATATATGACGCTGACGCGCATCCAGTTTACTCTATTATCAGAATATATGAAAAGACAGGTATTGCTCGAAAGAATATAAATATAGTGCGTTTAAATTTCGTAAAACTCAAAAACCAAGTGCAGAACAATGTCAAAGGAGGATGCAGTTTTGTTTGGATTTTTCAAATAGGCATAATGAGAATAACAATTTTTTGAAAAACATTTTATGGACTGACGAAAGTTCGTTCACCACAAGAAAGGGTTGTGGTAGACAAAATACGCGATATACCCAGGGGTGCCAATCAATTAATGTATGGACTGCCATTAGTAGAATATACAGTCGAAATTGGAGGGACTGCTTTTTTTACCGTATATAGAGTTATAGGCACTTGAAAAATAACAATATGTTCTGTAATATTTTATATACTTATTTTGACATCACCACTTTATTCTTTTGAATTTTTTTAGTATGCCAATACGCATCTTCTCGTACTTTGGCTTGTATTTTCATCATTTCTTCGACAGGGTCATCTTCCCAATGATACATAAAAAAATTCTCAAGCGGCTCAACTGGCGGCTTGTTGAATGGTTCGTCGTGGTCCCGGATCGACTTCTTTTTCCTCTCAGTGCTCTTCCTCACCCTTGTTAAAATATGGCTTCCTCTGTCAAGTCTGCTGTTATAGGCAAATCCTGAGCTATCTAATGAAGTTGATTGCATCTAGCATATTAATAAAAAAATTTGTCGTCAGACTCGATCATTTCCAGCGTCGCTTAAATGGAAGGAAGATAGCGGATACATAAGCCGAACAGTCTAGCTTTGTTTTATATTAAATCATCACCCTTACTTACGTTTCTATTAAAATGGCCTTTTTTTTATTTTCTTAGTCGCCACTTTTTTATATGCACGTTACATACATACAGGTTGATTGTCTAATTCAGATGACCCCGTGCAAAGCGTAGGCGTGCTTGTCGATTGGCTGTAGTAAGTTTTGGACCATTTTTTTTTGGGTCAGGTTAATTTCCTTCAGTCTTCTCTTCTCACCGTCCACTGACTAATGGCCACCCTTCAAACTTCATGGAGCTGTTGAACCGCATTTCCTCTTTCTTATTATTGTTGACACAATAAAGCGGTCACCACGGGTCGTTGTCATTCGCCTTCTACCCGGTTCCGTGGCGCTTAGCAAAGGATCCGGTCTCCTTATACCGTTAAATCAGCACTCGTGACAAATTTAAACTCATACGTTGTCTTCCAAATAACACGTTCATGTTTCGGGTAAGATGTGACTAAAGTCAAAACTTTACAATGTTATGATTATTCCTGCGGACATAGCGTCATTGGTTCCTTCGCTTCGCAGGTGTCGGCGGGATTCGACGCGACGGAAGGCCACCTGCCCCCGTTGGGCGGGTACAGGGTCTCGCCCGCGTGTTTCGGCTACATGACGCGGCAGCTGATGCAGCTGGCCAGAGGCAGGGTGGTTTTCGCCCTCGAAGGCGGCTACGATCTGCCGTCGATCTGCGACTCTGCGGAGGAGTGCGTCCACGTCCTGCTGGGCGACAGGCCGTCGCAGATTTCGCCGGTGGAGCTTTCGAGGGCGCCGTGCGCCAACGCGGCCCTCGTCCTCCAGAAGGTGTTCGCCGTACAGACCGCCCATTGGCCGTGCCTGCAGGAATCGGCCAAAACCGCCCTCTGTTCCCACCAAGACGCCCTTCGTAACGAGAAGGAAGACAAGGACACGATATCCGCGATGGCCAGTCTCTCGATGCAGCATAACATGATACCGTCGCCGCAGGGGTTTCACCCGAACAGCCCGCAGGGCGCGGGCCGACCATCCGCGTAAAACGACCCCCCCCCCCCCCCAAACTACCCAAAAAACGAACCGAACATTCCGCGACGGCCGCGGCCCGGCGGCCGTCCCCCATTTTTAAATTAAGAACAAATTATTGTGTGTTTTATTTTTGTTAATATATTGAGAATTTTTAATAAAAACCTTTATTTACTTTAATATTCGTTATTTTTATTTGTTGTGTAACATACACGGATGATATGGCACACAAACACACGCAGGCACATTATATTACATGTTTCCGGCGAGGCAAATTGGAGATAATAAAATCGTTGTTCAAGTTAACCGTTTTTTGCGATTTATTTGGTCGTCCGAAGCGGATCGGAAATGTCAAGTCATCATTTATATCAAATAACTATGAATTTCGGAGTTCCACAAGGAACGCTTTTAGGGCCACTCCTAGTCACTATTTATATAAATGGCCTCGACAAGTAGGAAATCTCTAAACACCGAAACGGAACCCGACTTCACCCTTCTCTCAATGGCCTATTGCACGTACAATGATACGAAGATTTTTAGGATGCTTAATAAGGTATACTATAATTTTCGAAGATGCTAAATGCAAACTTATATTAAAGTGGTTCAAAAAAGCGGTGGGAATAACACATTTTTTACAATTGAACACCCTTTTTTTTAATTTTGTTTTTCATTAGTTCGAAAATGCTTCAACTTTTTTACCGTACCGATAATATTTCTTCCAATATCTAAATTTTTCTAAAAAAACATACGACAGCACCATTATTTTTTGATATTTGATATTAACATTTTTCGAAGATTACTTAATAGATATATACGAATTAATGTGTTCAAAATAATCTAATATATTTGTTTTTTTTTTCGTAAAGATCTGACAAAAGTCTTCAATTTCCTATCTAGACGGTTGCTGTTAGAAGTTGGCCATGGCAAAATGACATTGTCAAATTTTTGCCTTGACAACTGAACAAATAAGTCAGTAAACTAAAAAAAACTAAATTTGGATTTTCCTAAAACTAAAGCAAGGTCGATTCAATTTTTTTTGTCCAAAATAATGTTTACCGAACGTGTAGCATACTATACTACTTTTTCTACGACCGTTAGTTTTTGAGTGCACTCTCGCAAAACAACAAGAAGACATTCGCTGACATGACCGTCAGAATTGACAAACGTCAAAATTCAAAGCGTGGGAAATATCTCCGAAAATCGAGATTTTTCAATTTAAAATAATCCAAATATATTCGTTTATTTCGTTCGCGTCATCTTCGAATATCGCTAATATCAAATATGAGTCATTAATTATAATTATTAATAATAATTAATTTAATAAATTATTTTTTGTGTGAAAACTGTAGTTTTTTAGAAAAAATTAGGTCTGTTTTAAATTAAAATACGGTATATACTTTAATAATTTTAAATTAACTTAGAATTTCATTAAAAAAGCAAAAATTATGTTGAATAAAAAACTGTAACTTTGAAACTAAGTAGGTTACGAAACACGGTGCTGGCGAAACGACCTTAGCACCATTCAAGGAATCGGCAAAAAATTACGGAATGTGTGGTTTTCGGTTTTCACAGCAGAGACAAAGTAGTAGGAGTAGTAGTAGAGACAGAGTACGAAAACTTTGAAAATTAGTGCTAATCCTAATTATTACTATTATAAAACTAACGCTAATTATTTTAGAAAAAGTTTTTGCTACGTGCTTAACCTCTGTGCCAAATATCTATAAGAAAAATGTTGCTGAGTTAATCATTTCAAGCTTTAAAAATAGACATTTAATATTTTGCATATTTGGTGCTATAATCGATACATCACACATTTTGCGTTGACATGGTCGAAATTTTTAATGCCAATAAATTTGACGCATAACCCCGTATTCACATAATACGAACGGAAATTTATTGACCCTTTTATATTTATTTTAAAAAAATTTACTTGTTTTCATTACCTCCAATGAGAATATCAGAGGTTTAAATAATTTTTCTTCGTCCGGCCATCCATTTACAGTAGAAATGTTTTTCGCAAATTTTTTTAATTATTTTTTCAAAGTCAATCTATTTTATGTTACCTACATAATATACATACATACATATTATAGATTAAATACATATGTTTTTGCGTCAGAGTATAGGCGTATAGATAGGCATTCAAATATTAGGCTGCGGTCATAAAAGAGAGCGATGATAATTTATTTGGAACAATGCAAGGTTGCCACATATACTGTTTCATAGGTTTCATAGTTTTAAAATATTTATCGTCAAAATTTTTACTATAATATTCCGATTTTAACGAAACATACCCATAATAGGCACATCAGCAGACTAAGTAAATTAGCAAAATATATAGAATAAAAAGAAACGAAAACATAAGTACGACATATACGGCACACTTTGCAAAGTGCGTATTTTCCTTGAGTTAGTAAGATGTGCCATGGAATATTCAAAATTACAATGTAATACAAAATAATAATAATAATAATTTATTATTAAGTATGATAGCGCTCTCTAGATTGATTGACAGCCTAGCTTTGAAATTAATTTAACACAACCAATCTTCTTTAGTCGTCTAGTGGATTATTTTTCAAAAACGCCTATAAACCAGATTGACGATCTGAATCGTCAACCAAATTAAATATAAATAAATATGTATGAATTTTTGAAGAAATGTTGCACTATTTTTTTACATTTCCATTAGATAATCGAAAGGTGTCAAGTAGATAGATAAGATCGGAACAACAAATATTTTCTGATTTTAGTTCAATGTGCGTACCTTCATATAAATTAACGTTAAATCTAATCTAAGGTGGATATTTTTTCTCAAATTAAAAAATTTAAAATTTAAAAATGGGAGTATCTATTATTATGTGTTATTAAGTGTTATTCATTTCCCTTTGCAGTTAATAAAGGGATCATGAGGTGCAAATATCAGGCAAGTGGTGAAAAGTCACTAAAAAGTCTATTTATTATTAAACGAGATCACAAACTTTACACCCTCTCCTGGTGATCCAAATCGCAGTAGGTCTTCAACATTGTCCGCTATGGTAATTATAATAATATAAAGATAACTTCCGTATATAGGTCACAATGCAGTGTCACACTTTTTTGTTCGGTTCGATTGATATTTGCAACTAAACTAACTAAACTAAACTAAAAAAATATATGCAGCCACATACTCTTGGAATCTCTATTGTTTTTTCAGTCATGAAGGAACCTTGATCATGGCCACTGCCTCAATAGCCTCCTCGTTCAGCTTCACTCAATCCTGCATTTGTATCTGAACATTTCATGTTATAGATACCTGTTGACGTTAACTACATAATTTCGTCTTTTGTTAACTTTCCAAGTCGAAATGTTCAATTCTATTAAAAATAAATAAGAACTAATGAAAATCTGAACTATTAGTTCTTATTTATTTTGTTAAATGGATTTTCATCAAGTAAAAGCCACCTCAGTTCAATTTCTCAATTCTATTCCTAATCTCTGCTTCAAGGGCTTTCTGGGAGTCCGTATGTTCCTCGGTATTTTCGGGATCTCATCATCAGAGTTAAAATCATCTTCTGCTTCAAAGAATCCTGCATATTTATAACAGTTTGCAATAGTATTTTTGCTAACTTCCTGCCAAGCACAGTGAATAAAATTTACAGCATCCAATAAGCTCACTGAAAACTCATCTTTATCAGCAAAATCTTCTTATACTGACACTTCAGGGAATGGATTATGTTTTGATCCATGGTCTGCAGTTTTAATCTGATATTGGGTGGCATAAAAATCAGTTTGATTAGGTTCAACATAACATTGAGAGGTGCTGGACAATTATCTACTGTTCTTATTCTTCAATTTTGTATCCCATTGGAGCAGCTCTTCGATAAATAGGTCAGATGTCATCCACGCTTTGCTGTTTGCCCTGTACTGACTGGTAGGGTCTTGTTTTTGAAACATCTTGGATTAACTGATTTACTCTTTTCTCTCTCTTTACATTAACCAGAACTGTTATTCGAATCAAGGGTTAAAAGATCGGTCCAAATTGTTGTGAGTCAGTTATTAACAACATTCATATCAACTGATATAGATTCACCAACAATTTTTCCTCCTGAGATACAATTTCTCTTATTAAAACGGTCAATCCATCTTCTGGAACACACAAAATCTGTTCATTTTATTCTACTTCCCATTGCATTTGCTGTTTGCTGAAGAACTGGATCACTTATGGGAACATTTTCTTTTCTTTTTCGGGTAAACCACTGTAAAAGTCCCTTATTGACGCTTTCATGAGCTGATTTTCTGAGCTTTTTACAACTTACGTTCACTTGACCATAGGACGAGAGAATGGTGACAGTTGCTTTAGGCAAGTTCATTTCACGACACTTTGTTTCATACCACTTTTAATTTTTTATATAACATCGTATTTTTCTTTCAAAGTTGAAGCCTTTCGTTTTCGCTTCTCCATTTCAAGGTCTGTCATCAATATTCTCTACAAAATCTAAGTCACAACTGAGATCAAAACATCAAACAAATGTGCTATGTATTTTATCCTTTCTCCTTGAAATTACCCCCGAAAAAGTTCATTTTATTCTCCCGGGAATCACCGGGGGAACCCCCGAAAATGTTCATTAAAAACTTAAAATGTAACTTAGTCTTGACGGAATTTACTTCACTGTATCGAAAGTTCACTATACCCGGATACACTAGAAACAGTAAAAATTTATTTTTGTCTTATTTTTTTTATTTGGTCTATGGGTGGAGGCAAAAGGGGCCCATCTTTTAAGTTTGGCTTCTACTGCTACAATAATCTCGTCAGTGTCTTTATTTTGTTTTGTGTACGTGGTGTTATATTTTCAAATCGATGATAACAGGTAATTTATAACGATAGACCCGCCGCCCCCACGTATCAAATTGCAAGCCGAATCACCCACCGCAATAAACACTTGAAACGACAATGAACTATTTTCGCGTCTATGTACCCAATCAATTTTGATGTTTACGCTAACACTTTCCTCAATTCGAGCTACTGTTTAGATAACTGTGATCGCAACGTAGAGATGTTCGCGCACAACAATGCGCCAACTTCTTTTTTGAAAACAAAGCCGCCTTTTAAGCGTTTGCTACAGTTTTCTATAATCGCGGAATCGAAGTTTCCTTTGAACGATCAAGCGCGCACGCCCGGTTTTCCCGACTATGGATTTTCCGACCTGACCGCGAGGATGCTGTACGCCGATGGCCGCCAGTAGTGATCATGTCGTCACTATTCACCCCTTTAAAGAGGTGAGTCACCCTATACGCTGTAGGCGTATCGTTTATCGGTCAGCGGGCTTGACCAGTAGTTTTAGTGGCGAATTTGTATTTTATACTAGCCGAATTTTTGCTATGGCTTTGGATCATTAGAAACGGGGCGGTGATACGGCGAGGTAAGAGCATCATGTTAATAAGCGCAAAGGTGATGAATGGCAGATCGAATGTAAAAATGAATCAAGTCAACAGTATGAAAGAATATAAATTCTCCTTTCTGGCAAGAGATGGACGAAAATTAATGTCACTTAATTTAATGGTAAAAACCGTAATAGAGAATGTACATTTTTAAAAATCGAGTGGTAAACTAAAAAAGATACTAGTTCAAAGTTCAAAACTTTCCAGAAAACCTGATGATATTAATAATATTAGGTTCCGTTCAATAATTAAAAATATACACCGGGTTCCATTAAAAAAACAAAACAATTCATGGATTTTGCATCACGATCACTCATCGTTGCTTGTGTCTCACTTTTTGGCCAAAAACAAAACAATCATGCCTCATCCACCATATTCACCGGATATGGTCCCCTGCGACTTTTTCCTGTTTTCAAAACTCACGAAACCCATGAAAGGAAAGAGGTGGAATAACTCAAGGCTATGCCAGAAAGTGTTTACCATAAGTGCACAAGTTGGCACTATCTGAGGGATTACTTTGAAGGGGATAACATTAATTTTTGATCACACCTCGTAAAGTCTAACGTCTGTAGTTCGTTATTAATTATAACATCTAAAGCGATATCCACAAGTTCGAATTTTGATAACCTGTGGTTTAGGTAAATACTCAATAAAATAATGTTCCAAAGAAAAAATCTTTTCATCGCAATAGATCTCATTTTCTCAATCGGTCATAATGCAAATGACATTTTGATAACTTGTGGATTAAGCAAGTACTCTAAAACTATTGTTCCAAAAAAAATTCTTTTTTAATCAGTCACAATTGAAGTGGCATGTTGTAACTTGTGAATTAGTTAAATAGCCAATAGACTTACGTTCCTATAAATATATAAACCTATGTTTATAGGTCATTGACATATCTGTGTTGTTATAGAAATGAACTTTCCGACGAAATGATAAAAGATACCAATTAATCAAGTCAAGGTGTCTTCGAATGTCATCTTCATCCATAGTGATCGCTAAAGACGTAACCTGTGAGTTGCATTTATTCGATTATATACAGGGTTTTCAAATTATAGGCAAAATCGAAAAGACTGAGAAGGTTGTTCTTTTGCAGAGTAAATTATTAGCGGCAAATCAAAAATCGTAAAAAATATGGCTAATTGGTTCAAACGGTGTCATAGACCGCATCAAGAGCTACAATCTTTGTATTTGCGGGTTTCGTCTATCACATACGCTGCTCGGGATATTTGAAAAAATCCATATTGAAATCATTATTTCGGGGGCTGTCAAGACGCGATGACGTCATTGATTATTACGGCGCACCGCATGGTTTCAGAAAAAACTTATTTTCTCGAAAACCATTTAGTATTTTCAAAAATTTTTTGAACCACGAAACGTGGAAAATCCAGGGCTTCGAACAATGATTGTATCATATACAGGGTGCGTCGTTTATGGACAAAAAATCTAAAATATAAAAAATTCCGTTTTTGTGGGTAAATTATTGGCGATAAATGGAAAACCATTAAAGATAGGATAATTTGAGCGAGCTTCAGGTTTCGTCAATTATACGGGGCGCGAGATATTTCAAAAAATATCATTCGACAACATTATTTGTACACATTTTAATATTTACCGATGTTTGCTGTAACTTTGAAGTTCGACGAGTTATGAAAGACATTTTATACAGAGTGCATGCGCAATTAAATTACATCGACTTTGCGAAAATTCCATAGTGGTCCGCAGGAGCCACACACGAAACTTTTTATAATAAAAAGCTGCTTCGAGCTACGCGCCACGAACTTGTCCCGCCCAGTGACGATTTTTCGAAAGCAATCTTGTTTTTTAAAAACAATATTTTTGTTTTGGTTTTTTTTTGGACAATTAATCTATTTTCACTTTCTATATAGAAAATTGGAAAAGATAACTAAATCCGAATGCTAGTGAAGGTAAAATAATCAGGTCCTGTTAAGGCATACCCTGTCGCATACCTCGTTTTCCGCCATTTAAGCGTCAATGACTTTCAATTCGAAATTTTCGGCGTTGTGCAACACGATTTGTGTGCAACACGGGCTATTAGCGAGGCAGAGATAAAACGTGCCTAACCACAAAATAGGTGCGCGCAAAACAGTTTAAAACTAGCTAAGTACGTGCTGATAAAATGTTTATACAAAAAGGAATTCAATGTCATCGGAAACGTATAGCTCAAAATGCCATTAAGGTACTGTGAGAAAGGTTTAATGGACGAAGGTTCGTCCGCCAGATTCGACTCGAAAAGTAAGGTCCACGCACACCGAATAAATTTTGTTCCCGATCAAATAGTTCAGAGAGAAAAGTTGTTTAAGGTGCCAAACTTTTATTTGTAGATTAGATAACCTTGCCTGTGCACAAACCTTCGCAAAGTAATACGACATTTGCATTAAATATTATACGGGGTGTACGAGAAGATCCAACTTCCAGGGTGTGAAATATGCGACAGATCTCATTATTTGAAGCAAGTTTATATTAACGTAGGTTCGATCTCAATCAGTAGGAGAGCTACGGGCGGTCAGGTATTGAACTGAGGTGGCTTTTACTTGACGAAAAACCATTTAACAAAATAAATAACAACTAAAAGTTCAGATTTTCATGAATTTATATATTTTCACATGACAATTGTTTCGACAACACCGTGTTTTTATCAAATGTAATATTTACAAACTACCTGTTACCATATATACCGAAAAATGACAATAAACCTTAAATAATGTTGTTGTGAGAATTTAACTTTAATAATGGAGTGGTATTTAAATCTAATTGATCGTTAAGCAATACATTCCAATGTCTCATTTGTCCAATAAATTTAATTTTCTACTTTTTGTGGCTGTATGTAGAATATCAAAATTGTCTTCGAAAATGTGGTTTTCTGTGTTTAAGTGTGTAGCATAATTAGAATCTAGACTATTTTAAACGCTCTTTTTCAATATATTTTTTGGAAAATTTACCTATAACCATTGCAGTAACATAACATTATTAACATGTTCCAGAATTGTCATATTAAAAACCTGCAGAAATTTAGCATAAATTTTTGAAATATGCACAGTACAAAATTGACGGTGTATTTCTTTTGGCACAAATTATTATTAAATTATGTGTCTCTTAGTGATCATGATTACCATTAATTAACGACTTCATTAAAAATTTTAAATAACACGTTTGATTGCGATGAAATATTTTAAAATTTGCACCTATTTTGTTAATGTGTTCCAAGTGCAATACTCGATTTGATTTTTACTTTTTCGCACAATCCATTAGCAAAGTAAAAACGTTATTACTCCGTTAAACATAATTAAAAATTTCAGTCATTTCCTTTTGTTTTTTTGTTTGTTAGAGTTAATGCTTATGTTACGTTAGGCTCTAGGTTAAGTTTCGTAACGTAACTTTTATATTCATTTTTACTGGAACTTAACAACAAGTACTTTTGTAGTAGTACCTTTATTATTATTAAAAATTATTAATTATTAATAAGAGTTGCACAGGGATTTTCACAATTACTTAAAATTGATTAAGGCTAAAAATTAATCAAATGAAGTGTGAAATATTATAGTATATTATAAGTGTGAATTTCCTTAGCAAAGACGAAATTTGAGTTAGATTTTTGTGTTTTTCTTACAAGTCCGTATATATGACTGAATGAATGCGTGAACGAATGACAAATATTTAATCATAGTACCATTAACAATAATTAATATCATATGCTAGTGACAAATGATGAAACATCGAGAATGGTGAAACCCACTTAGACTATCGGCCTTTACGGGGGTGATAGCATATGTTTATTTGATAATTTGAGTACTTATAATAGATGTAACACACTTAATTATATAACTAAACGCGTTGTAAATACGCTTGTACCTTAACACAGTTATAGATAACTAAATAAAATTAAAAAAAATATATTCTAGTTAAAACTACGTAGAAGCCCTCAGTCATATGTAAAAAGAATTCTTAACATCATATATGAAAACATCGTTTGTTCTAATTTAACTCAAGACAAATCCATTCTAGAGAGATCAGCTAGATATCGAACTAACACTGTTATTATTTATTTTTTTCAAAAATAATTAAGATACCTAGCTCACTTTTTAAAAAAAATGACCAGTTACAGCTCCGCTGCTCGTGCTTGTATAAAGTTTTTTGCTTAAAATGACGAGACCCAATAAAAAACTCTTTTAATCTGAAGTTTCGGAATTTTGAAAAAAAAAATAGTGTAATTGGTTTTGATTAAAATTAAAATATACTAAATTGAAAACTGTTGCCATTAGTGTTTATATTAACCACAAAATCGTATTTTTTAAACCTTACGTTTACGTTTTAACGAGCAGTCCTTCAAATAAAAAATAACCGTCACAAAAACCGACCCACCTTTGTGGTTTCCGCGCCAGTCAATTTTTATTATGCGTAAATACAAATTAAGTGTACTGCCGCGATAATTCGTCTAATTGGTTGCATTAATTTGAAAATTCTCTGCCGCACAAAATCGTACAATAGGCAAAAAAAAAATTGTCAGTTTCCACTTTTGACCAACGCGACGTGGACGACTTTTATGTATTTCTGTCACACATTCATTGAACGTTCGTAAAAATGTTAATGTAAGTTGTTTACGCATTGTAATTACTACTTTGAGAACGAAATAAGTATAATATTATCGTCGTAAACGGGACACAGATCGCGCTCTTTCTGTACGGACAATGAAAATTTTTATCGCACCCTGTATTAGACTTCTAGTACAACGCAACGCGAAAATCTTTGAAGGATATGATAACAGTACCGCACACTTATCGTTCAACCTGTATATTACATGCACTAAGGTATATTTATATACTATCTTTAAAAAGAAGAGACCATTCTACTTCGTACTAATGCTATCAAGAGATAGTAGAGAGAGTAGATCAACAATAAACTCCTTTACTTCAAGCTGCATAGCGATAAAGTGTCAAACCGTTATTATTATATGACTTTTAGTATTAACAAACAAAATTTAAGCGGCATAAGCACAGAATCATATATCTTTCAACCTAAATATGTTATAAATTTGAACATTATATTTATTTAGTTATTCATGGGTTTCACATCAAACAAAGATTCAACAAACCTATTTATACATTTTTATTGCACACATAACATCTTATCGGGTCTTTGCAAAACGAATTTCAGATTTTCCTTTTAACGGATAAAAAATAATATAGACTTGATCGGCAATTTTGGCATGCGATTTATATTTTATAACATTGCTGCGACTATACAAATTTGCGGTTTACACTTTATAATATTGTGGCGACTTTTTAAATTTGCGATTTATTATGTCGCAAATTTACTTCAAAATTTATAACTCCTCCGATCCTGTTCGATGTGGTGAACTTTAGAATATTTACACAAAAGGCTTCTATTGCCGCCAAACTGATTGAATTATACCCTTTTCTTAGCTAGAACGGCAACAGTTACTTGAACAATACGTATTTTACATAAATCAGTAAATATGCGTCGCCGCATTTTTTATCACATTATCTTTTATCGCAAAATCGATACCATACGATCTTAAACAAAAATAATGTGTTGCTATCTGTCGTCATCCAAAGGCCTTTAAGTGCTAACCGACGTGTAAGTGCTACATAAAACCACATTTTCGATATATCTGCCACGTGTAATTCACAACCTAAGAGAACAGCTTCCCAGAAAGTGTTAAAAGTGATTAAACCGAACAAAAATCTAAACCTAGAAATACGTTCTGAATGAGTAAACATATTTGAGGAACAAAAAAGGCAAAGTCTACCCACACAAATATCAGCGCAACCATTTTTCCAGCATTTTTTTTTGCTCGCTAGTTTATGAGAGTATATCAGGTATGTCGCATCTTAATCCCATATTTCCCTTTACGTGCCGATTATATTGCACCGCCGATCACTGTGATTACGGTGGCGTATACTCAGTTAAAGTTTACTAGAGCTACATTCTCCAGCAGATCGTATGCAGGAGTAATCAGGGTTGATAGAAATTTATAGACATACAAAACAGTCTAAGCGAGAAGAGGCTCTATATTACAAGTGTCGATATTGTTGGCAAAAGTCATAATTCTGCAAACAACCACTTGCTTGGTCCGCTAGACTTTTGATATACTGCAAAACGAAAATTTGAAAAGTGGGCGTGTTCACTAGTAAGATCATTTCCAATTAACAAATGTAAGCTTTCCCCATGGAAGGATTAATGATTCCGCCACTGGTCATCTTTTCAACTTAAATCCTTCCAAAAATATTTCCATTTTATACGGGGAAAAGCTGCTGCTCATCAGTCTTGGTACTGGCAGTTGATAATAAAGTAAACTCTACTACTAATTATATGAAGATCGGACCAAGAAACAAAGACAAAAATTTGAATTTTTACCACACTTCCGGTATTCAAAAAGACTTACAGCACAGCCTCGTTTCTTTTTCTTTCTCATTTTATTTACACTTCTTTTTTTGTTTCTGTTGATTCTTTGTTATAAATCACAGTTTTGGATATAGGTTAGATTTTTTATACTGGTTCCGCCTGTTTTATAGCCGTCAGCTATATTAATTGCACATTGTTCTCTGTTTATGTTTGGTCGTTGAAAATTCGAGAACTACAAGTTTTTTTTTCTTTTATATCATAGAATTTCGTGGCACGAGGCTTAAATGGAAAGTCCTCTGTTTATTTTGCGCTCAACAGAGACGCTCAGAAAGACGTCTTGACGCCTGAAAAACTGAGTACATGTTTTTTATGTTTGACAGGTAATGTCTTCGTAAAAATGCTACGTCGGTTCTCGGCGCGCCGCTTCTTCTTCATAGGCATCATCTTCATAGGCGTGACAGTGCTTATAAGTACGAAACTGAACGTACCATGGCTACCGGCTTTGAAAAAATCCGCCGCTTTGCAAGAGGAACACTCTGTAGAAGATGCGCCCGCACTACCTTCTGCCGTACTTGATGAGGTTCGTAAACGCTTTCTAACTGTAGTTTTAGCACTGACAATTTGATTCACGAAATAAAACTTGTTGTGATTTTCCACAAATTTCTGCGTTAACTCAGTAATGCCAACTGCTAAAATAAGTCAAAAACCAAGGTTATGTTAGTTAAATACAATTAGTTTAATAAAACGCGAAACATTCAGATCAGATCAGATCAGATCAGAACATTCTTTCGACATTCTCAAAAACTGTTTAAACGGTTCAGGGTTCCTTTTAAATTTTTATCCTTACCGATTTTAATTTTCTAGACTAGTGAACTAAATATGGACTATTATAAATAAACACTATTCCAAAAGGATAACATTTATGGAACATTTTTATCAAAATAAATAAAAACTAAAAGTCTTTATCAAAGTATGACATTTGATAAAGACACGGTGTTGTCGAAACAATTGTCACGTCATAACATATAATTTCGTGAAAATCTGAACTTTCAGTTCTTATTTATTTTGATAAATGGATTTTCATCAAGTAAAAGCCACCTCAGTTCAATTTTCGAACATTTTTATAATCAATCATAACAAAACAAGCATTAAGTAAAAATGATACATATAAAAATACATTTAAAACCCTTTTTTCAAAAAGTACGAAAGAGTATTGTCAATAGTTATAGTTTTTTTTCAAAATTTTGTTTCTATTTATTTGTCTTTTTCAAATTTAAGTAATTTTCTTCACAGAAGCAGGCATTTTAGTTAGGAATTTCGGTTGTTCTTAATTTATTTAAATCAAACCGTTTGCCCTTTCCGGGTGAAAATTTTTTATCACCAATCGCCAGTATTTAAATAAAAGAAATTACGTGTATAAATAAAAATATTGTCAAACAAGTTTTCCTATTTACAAAAATACGAGCGATTATCTTCTTCGTGGAGTTAAAAACTAAAACTGTTATCGCCAGCATAATCTTAATGGCAGCTATAAATAACACCGACGGCAAGGAAAATTGATTTTCCAAACCTGTCCCGGCTAGGTAATAAATTCCTCGTGATTATCAATTTTGTCATACATTTTAATCTTCGAAAAATCTTGTACGCGTACGATCGGATTTTGACGTTTCAGAGCAATTTCGGTGAGAGCAATGAGATCGACGAAAAATTCGTGGAGAAAGAAAAACCTTGGTACCTGACTGACGGGACGATGTTGCCCGTCAAAACAAAAGGTCCGGTGCGTCTGTTCCCGGATCAGGCGGACGGCGATAGGATTATTGATCAGCTTATGTACATTCCTGAAGATTACCAGGGTAATGGTAATAGTAGATATATTATGCAACAAGTGCGGTAAACGGCATTTGACTCACGAGTGACTTAAAAAGTTTTATTTTTTTTCTACGGCCAGTATTAGTTTTTCAAATTATCTAGGGATAGCAATAGAATACTTATGTGTACAGGGTGTTCGTAATTGGAGTGTTTTGACAGGAAAAACCTATTTTCACGAAATTATATATTTTGCACCAAAACATGCAATCTCGTAACAAGAAATTCTATTCTATCTAGTTATGTTGTAGTCCACAATGGCGATCGTTAAATATGGAGAAATATTTTGCTTTAGAAGTTCGAAATAAATCTCCTAACCCCCACACGATAGGAACCATCGACTCTCTTTCTTCGGAAAATGCAATTTCAATTGCATTGTGTCCAATTCTTAACCAGAACCTGATCACTCGTTTTCAGACCAAACTACAAAAACCTATCTAATAAATAAAATCGCCACAGACAACTAAATGACCCGAGCGAGTTCAAACCCTTACGGATCATATGGGGAACACGTGATCCTCCCCTCCAAGCCCCGAGAATCCAGTATTGCCGTGTTGCAAGATAGAACGCTACGTTGTCGGGCTCATTACGGCAAATTTTCAAACTCAATGAAATGATTAATAATGAATGAATGAATAACTTAGTATATTAATGAATGAATAACTTAGTATATTAATTAATATTAGTTATTTTGTTAGACTATTTAACAAATCTGTCGGGAACTAAATTGACTAAATTCGCTATAAAATTAAACTATTAAATTATCGTTCAAGCTATCCCTGACGCTTTTTCACGAACCAGCCCATAGTATTAGCAAGCAGTTTTCTTACAAACATTTTTTCTTTCGAATCAGGCTACGATTCACCGGAAAAAGTGATTTTGGCGTACACTGGACTGGGCTCTTGGGGTGCGAAAAGCGGTCCCAGCGTGTTCCAAGAGTGTCCCGTGAGCCGGTGTTCCCTAACGGCTGATAAAAGTAGGGCCGCCGACGCGGACGCCATCATTTTTAAGGATCACTTCGTTAGTCCTGGAGTCCCCAGACCAATGAACCAGGTAACACTTATGAAATTGGGCATGTGGGATACTTAGGAGTTGTTATTTAACGCCTACTTCACCCTCAGTTTTTTTAATTGAAGAGGTAGAACAAATTTTAAATTTCAAAGTTTTTTTTTAATATGTTAGGTTTAATACGTCATGTTACTTTTTTATATGATTATTTATTTTTATATTTATTATTCATGCATAGTTTTCAAGATACAGGATGTTAAACTTTTAAAAAATCTTGTTTTGTTTTCGAGAAAAAATAGAAATCAAATAAATACTGTCGAGTTATTGATAAGTTAGCCTCTTATCACCACACATAATCGTTTTAACGAATTCAAATAACGGTTAATAAAGATATTAATGGAAAAACGCTAATAATTTGTTGTCAAAAAAGTATGATCTGCGAAAAAATTATAATTTGTAGAAGACGCCACTGGACTTCATAATTTTAATTTAATTAATTCTAAATGGGTCTCTTGTCACAACAAACAACACTACCAAATTTCAACAAAATCCGCTATTTTTTAAATTTTGACACCCTGTATCTTGAAAAGTATGCGTTGGACCCATGCTTATATGAGTAATGTATTTTATTTTTTAATTAAATTATTCAATCGTTCTTTCCGGCCGCCCGCTTTAATATCATAAACTAATATCATTCAAACCGAAAAAAAAACAGTCTAATGCACTTCTAAGAGGTCGTCAATACTCAAATCAATATCGATTTACAAAAAAAAGTTCCTCGCCAATCCAACTTGCCTTTTCTTTCAGCGTCGCAGAAGGTTCTTGCTTATAAGAAAATCACTAACCACCATTGAATTTACTATTTTTAAAAAAGGACACATGAAAAAGTTCTCACATATTATTCAACAAGTCGCAGTCTCCAGTTTTGATTTTTTTAAATAAAAACATTTCCAGCTCGTTCTAGATTGGACGGCATTAATCACATTATATTGTATGAAATTTCGATAAAAATAGCAGTTCACAAACACTTTAATTTGTCGTGTCTCCACAAACATACTCTCTCACAAACTTTTATTTGCAACCAAAAAATAACTAAAATATGCACCCAAAGAAAGGTTTCTCGATCGGCGTGTAAACATGCGCTTAAGTTACTGCAATTGTACATGATCTTTGACAGTGCTGCAACGTTGCTGTTGGCTTTCAGCATTTCTATTGTTGAGTTGTAGGGAGAGAACCATTATTTAAAAATATGTACAGTAGAAAGACAGTACAACTTGGCAACAAAGGAGTCGAGCCACCATCTTTTTAACTTTATGGATGAGTCGTCCTTTAGATCATAGATGGCCCTTTAATATCGTTCCCCAGAATTAAAAGTATTAGTGCATTCCTTTTCTTAACTAAAATTTAAATTGCTATGTTACGTTAGGTATTTTTAAATACCTGACCATTAATCGTTTAATTGTATTCCTTAAAAAATTGACACTAGCCCAAACTTACTGTTGGTAGATTTGGATACTATACTTTCTCGAATGCCCCTACCATACGCAGAGCATAAAATTCGCCGACGTTATCAACTGGACCGCGACTTATCGACGAGACAGTGACGTTGTTGCTCCTTACGAGCGTTGGACTTATTACGATCCAGAGGTGACCACCATCGATTAATGCATTAATTTCGAAATAATTTATCTCGATCGTAGGTACGACAAAAGACCCAACACATAGACTACGCGGCGAACAAGACGAAAAAGGTCGCGTGGTTCGTATCGAACTGTGGCGCTCGCAACAACCGGCTCCAGTACGCGAGGGAATTGAGCAAATATATTTCGGTGGACATTTACGGGAACTGCGGCCCGCTAAAGTGTCCCAGGTCCGATAAAAAGTGCTACGAATTGCTGGACAAAGAGTACAAATTCTACTTGGCGTTCGAGAACTCGAACTGCCGAGACTATATTACCGAAAAGTTTTTCGTCAACGGCCTGGGACACAGCGTTCTTCCTATAGTAATGGGTGCCAGGCCCGAGGACTATCAAAAAAGCGCACCAGAAGGTTAGTTCTAGTAGCCCTATATTTATATATGACACGACGGGAATCGCATATGGAACTGTTTTTCTTTTCATGATGTGGATTTAAATTCGATTAAAAAGTAACCTATTTTGAGTCCCGTGTTAACTGAAAAGTCAAGAAAGTTGTAGAGTAATAAAACTTCATTGAGGCTTGGAAATAAAAAAGTGTATTACAAAAGCGAACAAGACAAAATGCTGGAACTTAGTTTTACATTTCTAAAATGGTTGTTTCTTAAAAAGTAAAAATAAATTCTATTCTTTTTCGTTAACTTATTAACTTCAGAACGGCTGTTGTAGGCATTCTGTAAAATTTTGCACAAAAATGCTCTTTTTAGGCCATCAACGCTGCCCTGAGCAGGTTTGATTTAGATTGCTTGCATCGCCGCTAGAGCGCGTTATGTGACCTCACTAAATAAAACGTTATTTTCGCAATGAAATGATAACATTTTTTTGTACCAAAAGATGATCAAATAAGAGTCTACCACGCTAGTGACAAGGGCATTCCGATACCTTTTTCGTAACCTATAGTATCACTAAAAGAATTAAAAACGCTGATTAGTGTCCCAATATTGCGAACTTGGCTCGCGAAACTAGAACATGCAATTTTGTTCTGTTTTGCATATAGTTGCATGTCGTTTATTCCGTAAAGTGGACCAAGACCATTCCAGGAGAAACACTCTCATTCAATGATACAACCACCTCCAAATTTCATTACAACTCCCATATTATTCTTATCTGCCGAAATTCGAAGGAAGATTAACACGAAAGCAATGCCAGGTTGGCAACCCACTAAATCTCCTTGCTAATAAAACTACCTTTTAAAGTCATCATCGTTTTTAATGTGAAAATAAGAAATATAGATACAACGATATATTTTTCAAGGTTCCTATATACACGTCGACGAGTTTTCTAGTCCAGAAGAGCTGGCCGCTTACCTTCACCGTTTAGACAATGACAACGCCCTGTACAATTCGTATTTTAAGTGGAAGGGCACCGGCGAGCTCATTAACACCCACTTTTGGTGCCGCCTGTGCGCCATGATGCATACGCCTCAGCTACCCAGGCACTACGAAGACGTGAACGATTGGTGGAGAGGCCCCGGAATTTGCACGTCCAAAGCTTGGCGAAACGCGGAATTCGTATAAAATCCCTGTCGTTTTGGTTTTATAGGAAATTTTAGACATATCTGCCGGTAAAAAAAAAACAGCAAACAATTTAGCCTTGCTTCGATAGCAATAATAGGACAGTCGGGGAAAAAGCGCATAAAAGACAGATAATTAACACTAGCGATGCTAGTTTATTGTTGTACGTTAGATGCTATTTCTTGTTTGTCCTTTTGAATACGTCACAGGCACAAAATCCAAAAAAAAAAAAAAATTGCGATTAATCCAACTTCGACAAACTGAAGACGACAGCTTGATAATTTAAATTTCATTGTTCTAGGTTAAAGTTGATATAGAAAGGGTTTAAAATAAAATGTCACCACATAAAACGGCTAAAGTACTTATAAAACTAACTTGTAGATATTTAAATTTCGCAGATATGTTTTGAGAACGTCGGCCATCGCTTTTTGGGGTACGCGTTCAAAAATCAAAATTCGAAATCTTGTTTAGGGAAAATGTAGGTCTACGGAATACCAGGGTGCGATTATTTTTGGCCAATTGTATATTTTGCGATTCGTTGGTTCTTAACCTAATGCCTTTCACTTGGTCGCTTCGTGTTGTTTTTGTTTTTAAATAATTTTATTGGGGATCGTTGTTAAAGTTTAGCTATGAAGACTTGTATACCGTGTGTGGTCCAAAACTAAAGACGCTTAAGTGCAATTTTCTTCCAAATAATTAGTTTAACAGACATTTTTGTTTTGTTTTGTATCGGTGTTGAACAGAAATTATATAGTAAATAATAAGCATATACTTGAAAGACGCATAAAGAGACAGTTAAGGCATCACTAGTTACAAAGTCAGTTTTAAAAATATTCAACGAAGATTGAATTTTGTTCGATTTAATTCGGTGGAATATTCACATCGAGATGTTAATCCGCTCAATATCTGTTTTTCTTCAAAATAATTTCACCATAGTAGTCACCATAACATTCTGTGATATTACATAAGGTTTAGTGCAAATCTTCTTAACTTTAATGTTGATTATGTTTTGCAGGCTTGTTGTTCCATTTCTAAGATTTGTTTTGGCCTTTTTTTAATTTACGAAAGGTGTGTGTAAAACTTCTCTAACGAGATTTTAGTTAAGGGATAATAAACTAAAAGTAAGTGACAATTTCGTGACGCAGTATGTATTCGCAAGAAAGTTCCCATTTGTGTGTCGATATAATTGCAAATATCATATTATCAATAGAAAATAAAACACAGTTCCGGTTGCAGTGGTTTTTGGGCGAAATCATTTTTCTTGCAAGCGCCTCGCCAGAAAAATTAAACATCGCAAAGATGGTCAATCCCTTTTCATTTGTAAATGTGTGCGCACATAGTATATGTATATTTATAAATACAATTCGTATTGTTAATAATTTGTAAGTCAATAAAATTTATTAAGTTTTTAATGGCGTGTCAGTTAATATTTGTCAATTAAACATGAAATTTTAAGGTATAAACTTTTCACATAACCTAGAAACCAACACCTATCGAAAAAGTTACGGAGGGGATGAAGCGGTATGAAGCAGCTTATGAAGCATTAGGAGAGGAAGACGGAAAGAACAAAAAATATACAGAAGAACTTAGTGATGAAGCTATTGCAGCTATTCAGGAAAAAAAGCGCTTACACCAAAAATGGCTCTGTACAAATTCGGGAGAAGACCTACAGAAATATGAGGACAAAAACAGAGAAACAAAAAAAAAAGAAAAATGGGATAGACTCTGCCAAAACATACAACAGTATACAGGAGGTACAAGATGCTCGGAATCATGGAGAACAATAAGATCTGTCAGATCAAATACCAAAGAGAAAGTCAATATACAGTTTATCAAAGAAACCGAATGGGAAAATTATTATCAACAACTACTAACGGAGACACGACCACAATTCTGGCAACAACTAACATACCAAATACAACCTAACAACAATCTAAAGCATGTAACAATAGAAGAAAAAGAAATAATAAAAGCCATTAAAGAATTAAAAAACAAAAAATCACCAGGGCCAGGGGGGATAGTGAATGAACTTATTAAGTATGGGTCGGACAAATTATTCAGAATATTGAAAAACATGTTTGAAAGAGCAATAAATGGAGAAACGTTACCAAGGGAGTGGAATACGGCATATATAAGCTCTATTTTCACGAAGGGGGATCGTAGGAAGTGTACCAACTACAGAGGAATTAGCATTATATCAAGCATGGGAAGACTATATGGAAAGATAATCAAAAACAAAATAGAAGACCAGATAATAGGGAAAATGGGTGAAGATCAAGCCGGTTTCACGGCAGGGAAGTCATGCGTTGATCAGATATATACGGTAAGGCAGACTATCGAAAAGAAAAAAGCTAAAAACAGAGACATCCATTTAGCATTCATAGATATAAGAAAAGCTTATGACTCTATACCCAGACAACAACTTTGGAAAGCAATGGAAGATATTGGGATAGAAAGAGAACTAATAAAAGCCGTAGATACAATGTACAAGAACAACGAGTTGTCGGTTAAAATAGGTAATAGGTACACAAATCGATTCACAACATCAAAGGGCCTACTACAAGGATGCCCTACATCAACAACGTTGTTTAAAATCTATCTTGAGAGGACGCTAACACAATGGAAAAGAAAATGTCAAGGTATGGGAGTCCCAGTACGCGACGACCACTTATACACCCTAAGCTTTGCCGACGACCAGGTGGTCATAGCCCAGGATGAAGACGACTTGAGTTACATGCTCAGAAAGCTGAAAGAGGAATATGAGAAGGTAGGTTTGGAAATAAACTTCGAAAAGACAGAATATCTAACAACAAAAGAAGGGGAAATCGAAGATTTGGAAATAGATGAAAACACAACCGTAAAAGCAACAGACAAATTTAAATACTTTGGGTGTATAATAACAAAAGATGGATCAACAGAAGAAGAAATCAAATCTAGACTAGGTCAGGGTAGAACATGTATAAAACAATTGAACTCCATTATATGGAACAAGAAATTAACAAAGAAAACAAAAACAACAATATTTAAGACAATAGTAGAAAGTATAATTACATACGGAGCAGAAACCTGGCTATTGAACAAAAAGAGCAGATCTAAAGTAACCGCCGTAGAAATGGAATATTGGAGAAGGTGTTGCCAACGAACACGCATGGATAGAATACGTAACGCAGAAATCAAGAGGCAAATGAATGTAGAAAAAGACTTATTAACTACAATAGCAGAAAAACAGCTTAAATGGTATGGTCATGTCAGACGAAGTGACGATAGACGGTGGATAAAGAAAATCACAGAGTGGAGCCCTACGGGACGTAGAAAGAGAGGAAGACCCAGAAGATCGTGGAGGGATGAAATAGATGAAGCCATGGAGGAAAGGGGGTTGGAAGACGGAGATTGGAATGACAAAGATGACAAAGATGAATGGAGAGTCTGGTTGAGAGAGGGAAAACGGCGCGAGCTGTAACAAACCCCATATATATATATATATATATATATATATATATATATATATATATATATATATATATATATATATATATATGAAGCGGTAAAAGCCTTAATCACGTATTCCGCTTTAGAAAACTCTCTTTAATAATTGAAAACAAAAATTACTACTCTCCCAAATATATATACCAATCCTGAGTGTGTTAACACCGCCTAAATGCTTTCACAACCCTAGAAGCCAGCCTATTAAACTACAAGCTCGTTCCCTTTTGGCGGCTGGGTGGCGCAGTAAATAATTTTTTCTACTCCCGTCTGTAAAATACCTAATTACCCACCGATCTAGCGTGCGGGAAGCGTCACTTTACCACATCGGTTTCGTTTCCCACGAATCCGAGTCACTTCGGACATTTCCGGGATTTTACCGCTTGGAATTTTCACGTTTGCCAATCCTGACAGTCATGTAATTGAACGTGTTTTGCGAAAATGTAGACATTTACGGCACTTGTTGCATAATATACTATTCCGTACGCTGTCTGGTCGGTCTGTGGTTGACAATTTGATTGAAATATCTTAATTCCTAGATTTCCGCGAAAAGATTTTAGAAAAACTGCGTAATGCTGATATCAATTTTTCCAATTTATTTGAACTACATAACAAACATGATGTGCAAAATGATATGGCTTGGATATTAACGCTACTTTGTACTAATCGTTTAACATGGAGTTGCAAAGCTTAACAATATTTAAGGACTAAATATCTCAATTGGATCTTCGAGTATTAACGATCTACGATATGTTCCAAATATAATGGAATTCTTGCTGGTCATAGAGCCGATGCAAATTAAACACTATTGGATAAAAAAAACATTCTTGATTTTTTTACTTGACACTGTCATTTTTATTTTTTGGAATTGGAAAAATATATAGAAATAAAATCATTGAGAATGTCGAAACGAAATATCGTGAGCTTTGAAAACAGCTCTTTGGGAAAATTTAATTCTCTATAAAGTCGTTTCCAAGAAATTAAGCCTTAAACATTAATAAGTTTTTGTGATTTAACTTAACAACAACTCATTCTAGAAAAAACAACAATACCGATTTGCAAAGGGAATTCAACCCTCCATAAAAAAAGTCCTCACCATTTATTCACGATTGAACTGAAAACTGAAATCCTTGTTTTTTTGGTTTCAGCAATTTTTTTATATATTTTATTTATTATTATATAATCAATACAATCACTAAAAACAATTTTAAAAATTTGTATATAGTATAGTAAGTATACAAAAAAGTGATAAATGGATACGAATTATTTATAATATACTAATGCCTAAAATATTATGTATAAACAATTTTCAAAATATTTTTAGTAATTGTATTAATGATATAATAATTTTCGATCACGTGGAATATGAATTTGATCCGTTGAATTGAAAAAAATGGGTGCAAAACGAAGAAAAAAAGGATTTCACTTTTGGTTCAAGTGCAATCCGGAATAACTTTTTTAGAAATAACTCTAGAAAAAAATATTAAGATACTTAATTGTAGAGCATTAAATTCCCTTTAAAAAACGATATGTTTTTTTGTATATTTATTTGTTTGTTACGCCGAAAAAACTTATTAAACTTCACAAAGGAATCTGATAAAAATTTTCAGAGCTTTTTTTTTGTGTACCTCAATCGTTTTGACGTATCATCATCATCATTAGGTTTAAAAAATCGAAAATATTAATATTAATATTAAGAGCTTAAACTTAAACACGATATTTTTTTTCCCGTCATTCTGAATAAAATTCAAAATGGTTGAATGTTTTGGCCTAGCCTATTATACATATCAAGTCATGATTTAATTTGCAGCGAACTCTATCGCGAAACGAGTAAATTAAATGGGGCTCCTAGTATGCTCGTAAATAATAATACACACGTCACAACGAATACAATTTTTAAAAACCCCGAAAATGTATATATATATATATATATATATATATATATATATATATATATATATATATATATATATATATATATATATATATATATATATATATATATATATATATATATATATATATATATATATATATATATATATATATATATATATATATATATATGTGAAGTTTAACAGAAACGCTACACCAGGGCCCGAGACACACTTAAACAACTTCGATCGAATAAAAATATTCATCAACGATTCGTGTGCGTCGACAGGAGGGATGGTATACAATATCACATTTATGCAACACATATAAGCTTATGAGTAAGATACTATACAGAGATTCGTCGACCTTTGTGCTTCGTATTATAGTCAACCACAGAAATGTTGGGTAGAGGCAGTGTAAATATTAAAGTATTTTTATAAAATATAAAAAACTACTAACCACACATCAACAAAAAGTAAATTTTTAATTAATTAGGTGAGAAAACTATGCAACCCGACCGATCTAGAGTAGAAAGAATTTAATATTAGACAGTCAATGAAAAATGTGTTAAAAATAGTTTTGTTTGAAATTCAATAAGTTTCGGTCATCTCACTTTTATTATGCAAAATGGCTTTCGGCCTATTTTTAAGAAAACGCTAACGTTCTGAACAATTGTCTTCACGGGGCCAATTCGATCCCACTTTTCGAGATATCTCTGCTCAAAGTTGAAGAAAGTGGAATTTTAATAATTTTCCTATAATTTTAACAATATTATAAATAAAAGCCTTAATGGGGGTCCATATGTGACTGATTACATAAATCAAATCAGAAAACACAGAGAATAAAAAAACGTTGTAGTTTTGGTAACAATATTAAACAGTTGCAAAATAATGAATCGTTTTTCTCATCTTTCCCTATCTTGCCAAGATGTTCAATCACTTCGATTTTAAAATATCCACGTTCGGTCGAAAAATACGATGCCGACTATCTCATTTTATATCGATAAACTAACCAAAACACCACGTTTCTTTAGCATTTCTTTTAAAATTGGTTCTTTTTTTTTCTTTTCAGTCTTCTTCGATTTCATACTGTTTTTTTAATGCACAACTTTCTGCAAAGTCCTTAAACTGGCGAAATTCTACTTTCTGCAAGTATTGTCATAATTCAAATTATAAGCTTACTTATCCTTGTTTTCATGTCACGTATACGTCTGTATATCTTACGAAATTTATTTGGAGATAAAAGAAAAACAAATGTGAAAGTTTGTTGTCGATAAATCGGTAGATCAGGAAAAAAATATACAAAATAATCGCATCTCATTTTAGGCTGATGTCCGATATCATGTTTTCTACAGTATTTTTGTATTTGTTATTATAGAAATTAACTAGACAACCATAATAATCGCTTCTACCTTAAAATTGAAGAAAATAAGGCAGAAAATAATAGCAGACTTATTTCACCGACACATACTATAAAATATGTATTTTTTTTGTTGAAAAATTCACTAGAATATATTTTTTTAATTATTGACATACAAGATTGTACAAAATCTAAAAGCTAACTTTCTGAACAATAGTGGGGCCAAATCGATCCCATGTTCAGTTTTCGAGACATCTCTCAGTGAAATGTTAATAATTTTCCTAAAATTTTAACAATATTACGAATAAAACCCTTACTTTTTTGACAATTTTATCCGGCGGTTCCATACGTGACACTACCAAAATGTTGTATTTTTGGTAACAATATTAAACAGTTGCAAAATAATGAACTGTTTTTATTCATATTTTCCCCGAACGTCAAGAACTAATACTACCAATAGTAATTTTATTTTTAATTGGCCAAAAGCCATTTTGCAGTGGTGAGCGGTTGTTAAAACGCTGTTAGCATTACAAAATCGATGAGTTCTGCGTTGGGCTTATAAAAAAAAACAAAAACAAAACGAACAAAAGTAAAAATGTTATAAACCCATCGATCCTTTAATATCGAAATTTTTACTTATAATTTTTAGTCCTTACTTTTTTTTTAGCAGTGTATTAAATGCCGTCTTTCAAACTGCAAACCGAAAAAGGGTTAGCTCGACATTTTTCCTTAAAGCAAAACTTAAAATATGCACGTAGACTGGTTAGTTTAGATACTAATCTAACATCGTAACCACTTACTTCTTAATCTGAAGTAATTTTATTTTAACCCAGCCTATCTCATTTCGGCTGGTGGTGGGGGCTGGCTAATCCTACCCGGAGTGTCCTGGTTAAGTTGGGAAGCGGTCACACTTCTCGTTTGAAGAGTAGAATTCGGTGTTTCGTCGAGGAGCTGCCTTAATCTCTGCAGCTGCGCTTCCAATTGCCGGTTGTGATCTTCCAGAATTTGCATCCTCGCTTCCAACCTCCCTTTGTGCTGCCTGAGCAGTCGCGCTTCCGCTAGAACGTCGTGGTGAGGCTGTTGCGGAGGATGGGGGGTCGGCCCGTGCTAACAAAAAAGGTTACCGATACTCGCAATATGCCGTCTCGAGTTTTACTACCTGCAATTGTTCGTACTCCTGCAACAGGGCCTGGTTTTCGAACTCTAGCTCCCTGATCATTTCCTGAAGTTCCGCCCGTTGCTCCTCATCGATTACGAGCATCAACTGTCCGGGGCTAGCGGGCGCCCCTTCTAGTGACTGGCAATAGTCGGCTATGAGTCTGTGTTCATCCTCCGGAGAAGCTGCCCTCAATTCTACCTCCGCTAAGCGGGAGGCATATATTTCTAACCTATGAAACATAACCTAAAAGGTAACCCACGGTAAATTGTCATAAGGAACGAATGATAACGGTTTCCCTAAATCTCTCTGCAACTCTCTATTGGTTAGGATTCGAGTGATTGAAAAGCGAAGAAAACTTAAATGCCGCCGGCAAATGTAAACCATTTTGTTGAAAGCTCTCATGCCTCACTTAAAAGTAAAGAAAACCTATAATAAATAATAATAAAGCATACACATTAGTAGGTTTTGTTAAAAGAACTATTTTGCTATTACGTAAGGTCAATTGCTCAATTGGTTTATCGAATTGATGTTAAGATTCTAAAATAAATTGAAAAACAAATGAGCCAACCGCTATCTTATATAATAAATAGATTAATTTCTACAGGTAAGTCTTCTCTTTGATGCAGTAAATCGTAGGTAATTAGAATCAAACCAACTGTTAACTGTGGAATACCAGAGGGAACAGTCTTAGGTCCCATTTTATTCAATATCTACCTAAATTATTTACTTAGGATGAGTACTAATGGAACACTTATATCATTCGCGGATGATACAGTCTAAAATGATGGAAGCCGACGCTTGAAATAATGTTCAATTGCAAACTAAGGCAGGTCTTTGAGCAATAACCAACTGGTTTGACGAACACTTACCATAAATTCGCAAAAAACTGTGTATGTACCCTTCGCTAATATTACCAAGTAACAATATTGTGGTAAACCTGACACAAAGATTCGAATTGTGGCAAACAGAAATAAAAACAGTGTCATATATCTTGGCATAGCATCGGACAGCCATTTGAACTAGTTTATAAGTCACTATGATTGATGATGGTCACTTTACTAGGGAAAAAGCGAAAGAAAACTTAATAGAACCATTTGCAAAGTAAAGGATGGGACAGTGTACCCTGTATGTTGGGAATAAATTATGTAACACAATTCCTGCTGAAATGAAAAATATTATAACATCTAAAGGGTTTGGCTATAAAGTGTCAAATTGGTTAGTGGAAAATTATGTTTAAGCTATGGTAGGCTAGGATTATATATTTCACTTTGTCAAATAAATAACACTTAAGGCAGCAGACGAGTTAAGCAACTCAAGCTTAATTCAGTGTTACCGAATTCTATCACAAATGTTATTTATAACGACTTATTTTCTTGTTAATCCCAAATTCAAAATTTAAATTTAATATGTTATTAACCTAAAACGTCCTGTAATCAGTAAAATCTAGCGTTATGTTGACTTAAAAGCTTGTATCTCATGCACAATAGACAATTTATTGTTTTTAATATTATTATTGCTGTATATGAAGAATTACTTCACTCCTTTAATCTTAAAACTCTTACGCAAAAATGTCCTGTGAAATATACTAATTTGATTCTTGTTTTTTTCTTGCACTTTAGAAATTGTGTTAATGCGACGTTGCCGAATGTGAGAATTTTTTTGTAGTGATTTTATTATTTATTGTTTTTCCTTGCTTATAAATTATAATTAGAATAATAAACATAAGCAAAAATATAAACTCCTCGCCTACCTAGAATGCATGTCGTTGTGCTGCGGCGAAGCCACCGGACTTTCCAACTCGTCCCCTTCGAGAACCGACCTGACCGGCAAATAACCCATCCTGGGATGCTTCGTGAAGTATCGCTTGCTCTTGAATTTGTTTTTCAGCGCTTTGGTGAAATCGCGCATGTCCTCTATGGAAGTGGTGGCGCCGCAATACTCGTGCATCGGATGCGTCAGTTTGTGTCCCTTCGTCAACTTGCCGGAAAAGAAACAACTCTGGCACATGTCAAAATTAAAACACTTGAGGCAACGGTATCTCATGCCCACGATCGGGTACTGTTTGCACGAATTACATTTCGCTTGGTGCTTGGAATTCTCCGCGGCGGCGATGCGATGCAACACCGGCAGCCAGACAAGAGACTGAGGCTCCTGCTTTAACCAGGCCAGAAAATGAGCGGCTTCCAAGTCTTCTCTCTCTCCTGTAATAGCGTGTAAGAGATGCGTCAATTGATAATCCTTGTTACTTAACAGTAGTTCAAATGTACCGGCGTGGAAGAAATTGATACTTTGAAAAAATCTTAACCCTTGTTACTTAATAGTAGTTCAAATGTACCACACCAGGAAATATAATTATTTAAGAAAATAAGGCCATTTGCGGTGTCATTGGTCGGTTAAACACAACCATAACAGTACCTAAACAACTTCTAACGCTGGGTTCAATATTAGACCCTCCAAAAGCGGCCACTTCGCCCAGCTGCCTGGGCACTTGCAGTATATCGTGGAGCAGGAGACCCAGTTTCCTTTGGTCTGCTTTCTGATGGGGATCCGCGATTAATCTGAAGAGATACCTATATTTATCCTCCAAATGACCTTTGGACAGTAACGTAAGCCCCACCTAAAAACGTTTACGGCTGACGGAAGATAAAATCCACGGCCGCGATACAAACTTTGAAGCTGAGGACGCGAATTTGGCCGGTACGTTGGCTGTCATAGACGTTCAGCAGCCAATTCAAGGCCAAATCAACGCCGAGGGGTAAATCTATAGCGTTAGGATCCTGCGACGACAGGCTACCGTAGATCGCTCTAAGGACCAGAACCATGTCGGCGACATCTATTGAACGCCAATTCGAAATTATTATAGCGAGACACTCCGTGCCTTGGAATTTACCTAATATTTTATCATTTTGAGCCCTAAGACCATGCAAATCAAACGCTTCGGATACAACGTTTAGGTTAACTTGATCGAGACATAGTTTTTTTTGAATTGCCCTAAGCTTCATGGCAGTACGATAAGCAGAGAACCGAACATCATTAAGTTGTAGGAGCGAGCCGGCCAGTTCTAGCATTTGAGGATGATCCCAGTGGGTGGTCTCTGTGCTGTGATTTATATAGTACGGAACCTTATTTGGAGTTGTTGCTCTCTCCCAAGGGGGTTGGACGCTTGAAGGGCCAGGGGATATTTCTCCTAGGAAGAGTTAAATCGTTGAAATCAAATTAGTACAAAACACAATTTACCAACCTTGACAACTACTAGTCAACTGTTCCCTTCTTTCTCTTATAGCAGCCTGCAGAGCTCTACATCTAGCGGTGCAATCCTCCAATTGAACTGCCAAATTATTAGGCAAAGCGCTGCCGATATTCATAGCTTGCATTCTGCCGTCTTCCAGTGACCGCTGCAGCGATGGAAGTTGTTGTTCCAGTATTCGGAGATTTGTTAAAAGCTCGCGTGCCTCGGCGGCGCTTCTCGGCCCGCTCCATGTTAGCGTCGCTCTTTCTAGTCGAGAGACGGCAGAACATGATTCCTCCAGAGCACTAGTCAACTGTTTCAATTTCTAAAGAGAAATTAAAGTATTTTTTGGGTTTATACTATTTTCCTTTGTGAAATAACATTCAAGAACATACCAAAGAATTCTGTTCAAATTTGGCGGCAAGCTTATCTGATTTATCTATAAGAGCATTCCATTTGTCCGAAAGTTTTACGAGCTCTCTTCTTAAGTTCCTGGCTAGTTCTCCAGATGGATCTCCGGCTACGAACTGCCTGGCGCTGCGTAAGCTGGCCTCTACAAGAGGTCTTTTGTCTTCAAGCTGCTGGCGGAATGCTCTGTGGTCGTCTTGCCTTGCTGCTAGACCTAGTTCGGTATCTTTTCTAATGACCCATTCAGTCAGTTCTCTCAGAGAAAGAAGCACTGAATTCCAATAGTCAACATTATGCTCAAGACGATTTCTCAAGTCAGCTGTACGGGTTTTAAGAGCCTTGAAAAAAGTGCAAGTTTCCTAGAGTTTTATAGCATTTAGGTAGTTTTATGTATAAATGTTCTATTCGCATTTTAAATTTAATTAGCCAACGGAACTGTAAATAAGAAAGTTACTTACCTGCCACCTCCGTTCCATTTCATCTCCTCTAAGCTGCACCATCACAGCATCTTCAGGCGATAGAGTACCTAAAAGGGCCAGGTGAGAAGAACGTAGAGCTGCATGCGTCTGAGATTGTCGTTCAATATCAGCCTGAATTTCTTTCAATTGATGAGCTGCTCTTCTTGATTCACTGTCGCCTTCTAGGGTCTCTACCACGGACTCAACCTCACTGAGCCATGCCAAGAATTTATCCAGAGATCTATCAAAATTTTGTAGAGAACTCAATGCTGAATGGAGCAGCTTGCCACGATTAATGATACATGCGTCCAACCGTAAATAATGTTGATTTATGTACTCAGCTGCCTAAAATATGGTGAGATATTGAAAGGAATGTTTTCTCAGAAAAATATTTAAAACTTACCTTCTTGTATCTGCTAGTGTCTTCATGTTGGTGAGCAGTGATTAACCTTTGAGTAACTTGCTGGAAACACTCAATTTGAGCTTTAAACTGATGGAGTTCAGCATGTAAACCCTTTTGCTCTCTGAGTTGTGCCTCGAGTACGTCAGCGGTGTGCCCCACCGGTGCCATACTCGCTATTCTGGACTCCATCCTCTGAAGCCATACTTCTAAATCCAACTTTTTCTGTTCAAAACTCTCCTCCTTCTTTTGCATTGCGAAATCGAATTCGCTAAATCATACCAATGAAACAACCACCATATTAAATATTTGGATGAAAAGTTGACCTTTATAGGCGGTAGATGTTGGGAAATCAATGTTTACCTGCCCGGGGTAAATGACCGCGCATCCAAAACTTTATCCCGATATTTTTAAGAGCGAAACTTACTTTTGAACTACACGAGCTATGTCTGCTGCATTGTACCTACAATCTCAAGACCAGCACAATGAGGAAGATAGTCTTATAAATTCATAAGAGGTAAACAGAAATTTTTGTCAACCCGGAAAAATAATGAAAATAAATTGGTTGTTCGCATAATTTTTAAGCGTTCTGTGACCGTAAAGAAATTATCACAGAACATCAAAAAGCAATTTCTAACTTCAGAATAACCGTCGTAACACAAATGCATTAAACAGAAACAAAATCATTATTCTTGTAGTGCTTCAAGACGGATTTTTTACTTTTATTACATTCGATTTCTTTTAATAACAGTTGATTGGATATCTGAAATTCGAATCCTGAAACGTTACGTTCTGTGATGTTCGATCTATGTTTTAGCTGTGTCTGTCATTATATGTTTACGTGTCATAAATTTGTAATAGTACCATTTAATTGTTTGCTGAACTCTCATATTAAAATATGGTAAGATTTAGTGTTTCTCTAATAATTATTTTTATTTTAAATTTCTAATATTTCTCATTTTTTGTGCTTTTTAGGCGAGATATTTTAAAGAACAGGACATTGATGGTATGTTTGTATGTTAATTCCATTTTAATGGAAATTATCCCCATTTGGGTATATGATAACCATAACTTTTCATTTTGCAGAATTCCGAGAATGTTTTTACCTATTTGCTCGTTCCGGTAACATTAAATCATTAGATGAGTTAACTGTGATTATGAGAAGTTTAGGCCTATCTCCAACAATTTCTGAGCTAGCTGGCTATTTCAAACAAAAGGCAATTGTTTCTCAATTTTTGTCATTAATTTAACTAACTGAGGTGTTTCAGGGAGGAAAAATGTCATTTGCTGACTTTTTGGAAGTGATGCATATCCACTCAAGGGTTGAACATTTGCCCAAAGAGATAGTTGACGCGTTTAAAGCAGGGGATGCAGAAGGACGTGGTGTTATTGAGGCCAAACATTTGCGGCATCTACTTCAAAATTGGGGAGAGAGATTATCTGCCAAGGAAGTTGACCGCATCTTCCGTGAGGCTAATGTCAACAACCACACTCTTGTTAAATATGAAGACTTTGTTAAAATTGCCTGTGCTCCTGTTCCAGATTATTACTAAAAATGTTTGAAGTTTATTGATTTTGTTTTATGAATATGGTTATGGTTAAAGTGTATTTATTAATTAATCTTATAAATAAAATACTTCAGTAATGAATGTACTTTTATTTTTGAAATATTGCGAACGTAGGACGAAAAACTAATAGTTTCGGAAATAGAGAAATACTATTGGAAAAAGGTTTTTTTTTTCCTATTATACAATGAGCTCGCGTCTTGACGGCTGCCCAGCTTATTCCACATATCAACGAGTAAATTAGGCAATTGAGGTAGTCGTTAAAATCGGACAAACACAAACACACCCAACGCTCCCGGTGGAAATCGAACCCACAACCTCCGGCAATTAAAAGGGTATTTTTAAAAAACAGATTCTAGTCGATACCGTTTGGGTTCTGTGCCATACCAACCGTACCAGAGACTATCGTCAGTCCCTACCTGCAGTTTATCTACGCTGAGCGGCATTATTTTAACCTAAAAATACTACGCTCATTCATTCCTACAAGTGAAACATTTTTACTTAAATTAAGTGGCTTCATATTTACTTCGCAATGGCGACTGCTATGCCGATAAACCCTAAACCATTCCTGAACAGTCTCACAGGTAAAGCCGTTCTGGTTAAATTAAAATGGGGACACGAGTACAAGGGATATCTGGTATCAGTAGACGGTTACATGAATTTACAACTGGCCAATACAGAGGAATATATCGACGGAAGTGTTACAGGTGATTTTTTATGTAATGCTAGCAATTTATGAATATCTTTCTTCTTTTCTGTTGTTTCAGGGAACTTGGGAGAGGTTCTTATTCGGTGTAACAATGTACTTTACATAAGAGGGGCTGAAGAAGAAGATGAAGAGGGAGAGACGAGAGACTAATAGTGCATAAGTGTATATGTGTGTTTCTTATAAAACAATTTTAGAAATAATGGAACGATTCTTTATTATAAAATAAAAGCCACCAAGATAGCAAACAGTTTTTTAGTGAGACACCTTTATTCATACCCTGTATAGTTTTATAATTTTTCATGTATTCATTAAGAAATAGAAATGCATTCAAAAATTTAGTTTTGTGGTTTCATGGAGAGTGATTCCCAATTTTTTAACTCTTGATTAACGAATAAAACAAAGTAAATCGATTTAAAAGCGATTTCCGGTAAACGCGTCTACGGAAACTTTTTTTCTGATGGAGTATTAGTTGCACCTTAAAGCATATATTTTCTGGAATTAGAAGGGCCACTTTGGAGCGACTTTGTAAATGTAAAATTAGCACTTCGTAGGAAAATTAATTTCTCGAAATTATGTCTTGTATTTATTTAATTTTTAAATCAAATCAGGAACGAAGAATTTATTATACCGAAATACGCGGCGAATCATTTAAGATTAATGTACCAAAAAGCCGTTATATATATGAATAGAGGCCGTACCAAATGCCGATAATATAAGCGTTTTCGAAGCGACGCTAAATAGTATATTATGCAATAAGTGCGGTAAACGTTATTTGACTCAGGAGTTTAAACATTTAATTACAGAAATTTTAAAAATTCCATCCGCTTTTATACCCTTTACCCGTTTGGAGCCGATTGTGAGGTTTCGATTAAGCTGGAGCGATGTAACCTTCATCTCTTCCGGAGGACAATTCGACAGGATGCAGGACGAACAATACCGTTATTATGATCGAACTTAATGACATACTGTATGTTGACTTATTAGCTAATCTTCGTCGCATGACAACGAATGCTTATTATGTAATGGCTGCACGTTTTTAGAGCTGGGGTAGTTTTATTGCTTTTAGAGAATTGCTTCCGTATTTGTTTCGACGATTTGAACTTTCTTTAATTTAATGCTCCCGCAATATGAATTTAGTGTCTAACAAAAGAATCTAAAAAGTAAAAAAAAAAACAACCCATGTAGCTTTTGGTGAATTTTAAAGTATAGCACTTTGGTATCTAGCAAATTATATGATTATTACTGTTACAGGTATTAGACGGTATTAACCCTTATGTTAAAATTTAAATTAGTTTGTGCAAAACTAAAATCAATCGAATTAACTAAAAAAAAACACCAAGCTAAGCTAAAAACTAACCAACAAAAAGTACCAAATCTGTTAAAACTATCAAATGGATTGGATTAGTTTATAATTTTTAGCTAATACGTAACTTACAAGAGTAGATAAGGGACTTACGTGGCCACTTCTCCGATGTTAAACCGGACCGAGCGATTTGAAATATTAACCCTACAACCCGCTGGAGTTCTCGAGCAATATCTATTTTATCGCGTCGCATGGCAGATTTATTAGTTTTCAGATGTTCGGACAGTCCCGATGGAAAAACTTAGAAGTTGACTTTCCCTGATTTATGGCCGGCGGTTTCCCTTAATAAGTCCTGCTGGAGGTGGCGCACCTAATATTAAATTTGTATTTTTATAATCCTCGTTCAATTCAGCATTGGTAGTACGTTTCATGTTTTAACAAGCATTTTTTAAATAACAAACAAATAAAAAATATGCGACACCATTTTAGTAAAATAGTAGTATTTGTTTTTGAGATTTCTTTTGCAAAATTTCTGTATTGACGATACTCGTAAAACAAATTAAATTAGAACAAAAAATGTTCAGATTTTCACAGTTTTAACACGGAGACGCATTTAAATCCAATTGGTCATTAAGTGATAAATTGTTATCTCCATGGCTTCCAACAAATTCTTTGTTTTGCTTTTTGAATGATTATGTAAAACATCAAAATTATCGTCAAAGTTTGTGCATTTCTGAATTTAAAGGAATGGCATAGTTAGAATCCGAATGTTTATTTTTAATGCGTTTTTACCGGTTTATCCGATATAAATTTTGGGACAAGATCCACATTTCAACTTGTAGACTCCGGATTTTTGAGTTTTTGGTAATTTAGTTTTATTGTTTTTTAGAAAATGTCCTATGGTTTTAAAAACAATATTAATGCCAAATTTAGATAGATGTTTCGAAATTTTCTTGCTAGGTTCTCCTATGTAACCAACCCAACACGCCCCCTATCGAATGTTTTCGGTAGATTTTAGCCAGTGATGGCATTTTTTCGCAAAATTGAACCCAAAAATTTGAGGTAGTAGAAGGAGTATGCAAAAAACACAGTGTTAAACACTCGCTACGCTCGTGCCAAATCAAATCGCTGACTATAGTGCAAAAAAGTAACTGAATAATAGATGTACGTTCAAATTTCTTTTCTAGTAAATAACTAATCAAAAATAGAAGAAGCTTAACAATTTTAAAGTTGGAATGCGCCGTATTTATTGTTTCCACTTTGTAGGAAATAGTGTGAAAAAAAATATTTTTGTATCATCTTGGTCTTTAATTCAATTTAATTTTTATTTATTTAATTAATAGCGTTTAATTTTTCGTTTAATCAATGCTTAAATTTGCTTTGCAGAGTCGAAGCGAAACCTATTTTTATTTTTAACGTAACTCGCGTAACAAATATAGTAGTTCTCTCATTAACGAGGCGGGCAAATTGTTCAAATACCCGCTACCCGATTATTTGTTCACAATTAAAATTTTCGGCATATTAACCCTTTAACCCCGCTCCGTACGTACCTGTTTGTCGGACCGATGGTTTGATTACACAAAGATTATAGAAGTTGCATCATTACGGCTGCGGGATTGCCAGTTAATTGCAACAAAATAATGGTTTACTTTGTGAATGGTAAACCCAACTAAAGTCTATTTCAGACAGGTGGAGAGTAGTAAAACCTCAGGTACGCAAAGGGACTACAGAATGACCCGAAACTTTGATTGTTCGGTTTCTTTGCAGGTTTTAATGGGATAAAAATACATTTAACGATCTCCTCTTAATGTTATACACCCCATTTCACACAACCATTTCACGGATTTCACGGACAAATTTAAGATTTCTCATTAATTATAGGACTTTGAACGATTTTAAAAATAAATTTTTAGGTTTTCGAAATTTTCAAAAACTTTCTGTGTGGTGCTCTTTCTTTTTAAAGTGTTTTCGAACATTGCTCGAATTTTGCGTCTCGATTAACCCCTGTAAATAACATCAATTAAAAAAATTATGCCCCGTAAAATGCCATAAAGAAAGAGAAATTCAATTTTAAAAAGAGATTGGGCGTTTGTATTGTGTGTGTTGATTAAATTATAGACAAAAAACAGATCAATAAATTGAGAGAAAAGTGTCTGAATACCACTCGTGTGGGGTTTGTATCTTTTGCAACTTTAACTTTTTTTTTGTTAGTTTATAATTTCGTAAAAATCTTAGGGGAGCTTCGAATATGGTGTTATATTTTTACTTAAAATCAAGGTAGACGGGCTAAGATTTTTTTAAGTCGTAATCTTATTAAAAACTACATTTTAGAATTGGCACAGCAAAACGGTCTTATTTTATGACTAAAGAACAAAATAATTCAGTATCCTTAATACAAGTTTCCCGAACTGCATTTCTGTCCAAAAATATTAAAAAAGAGACGAAGCCATTCTGCTGTATAATTTTCTATTTATCAGAGTTATAACGAGATTTTATGTAACACTTGCGGCTGTAATATAATTTATAAAACACGTTGGCCTCCAAGGTCCCCGGACTTAACTCCCTTGGACTTTTTCTTATGGGGCTACATAAAAAATGAGGTATTCAAAGAATGTTTTGACAACGAGGAACAATTACGTCAATCAGTACGAGCGGCGTTTAATAAAATTACTCCTGAAATGTTAAGTCGTGTTTTGGAGTCTACCGTGAGACGGGCGTACTTATGCCTAGAAAATGGAGGTCATTTATTCGAACATTTGTTATAGAATTTGTTTTTCATTAACTTGTTGGATTTAGTTGTTATGTTAAATGAACAGTTAGAGTTAGTAAATAAATAAACACATTAACTCGAACTTGTCAACCATTTTCTTTTGCCTTTCATCGTTCGGATCTCATGGCCTACTACAATAAAATACTAGAAATGTATTAAAAATCCATTTTTCTGGATAAAAACATAAGTAACCGTATTGTATCGTACATCGTTGAATTCGCAATGAAAAGCACAACCTAATACTGTGTGTACTTTTTTTCCGTCCCATAAGAAAAATCAAAGTTGATGGTGGTTCCATGGAATCGAAACGCTGTAATGAAAATTTGTTAACGTCAATTTGGAGAGATTAAAAAGTGCCAATGGAAAAGTGTTTTCCGTTTTTTCATATCTTTTCAAATAGCTTTAAAAAATAATAAAAACGAAATCGCAATATTTCGGTTTTTCTCGGATATTTCCGGAACGGCTTGGAATTTTCAAATTTGTAAAGCGGGATCTTGTTCGGTATCAAAATGCGCAACTTTTGGCTAATTTAACCGACACTGTATCTCTTATAGTTTCCGAGATCCCCATGCTGTGCATCCTTATCTTGGACACACTGTATTATATTATATTTTATATATAATATATGTAATAATTCTTATGAAAAAGCCATGCATAAAATTTATTTTTGTTTTTTTTTAGTTGGTCCAAAAATTGTGTGTATAATATTGAGTTTATGAAATGGACTTTTCTGCGAATGATTCTAATATTTCAAATTTAAGGATATGTAGATCTACTCATTTGTTCAAATTTTATCCTTGAGAAAAATGCACAGCAACATTATGAATCAGTTTATGTCCGATAAAGCTACATTGTTTCGGGAATGTTTAGGTTTAATTTAATAATCGGCAATAATAATGAAATGACCTTTGCGAACTTATAGCCGAAACAAGATCGAATTTACTAATCACATCCGACATAACGATTTAAAAACTATGCACATGGATCTGCTATTTTATCTGTAGGTTACTTAATTGATATAATAATTTCTAATAACATTGCGTGATGTTTTTCAGATATTCGGATAGTTTTTTATTTATCCGAGTTAACTTTACATCTTCTTGGATGGTTTTCTCTACTTAATTACTGTAAGTGGCAGGTATGTGTCATTATGGTAATAACAATAATGATTTTAACACAAAAAAGGTAATTAAAATCTTCGAAAAAAAAAAATCAAATTTATTAGAAAATATTTTTTGCTTGATAAAACAAAGAACTGAAAAGATTTATAAAATATTTGTTAAAGGTTTAAAATAACCATCTTATTTGATGTAATTAATTAATTGTGTTCTCTTTAGAAGCGACAGAAATATTTACTACTTTTTTTTGTAAAATACGCAAAAAAATACAGTTCAAACAAAACATTTTTTCTACTGCAGTCTGTAAAATACCTAATTAGCCACCGATCTAGCGCCCGGGAAGCGTCACTTTCGTTTCCCACGAATCCGAGCCACTTCGGACATTTCCGGGATTTTACCGCACTTGTTTAGGAGCAATCGGATGTTTTCGGAGATATTTCCCACGCTTTGAATTTTCACGTTTGTCAATTCTGACGGTCGTGTCAGTGAATGTATTTGTATTGTTTTGCAAAAATGTACCCAAAAATTAATATATAGAAAAATGTTATGCAATATATCAGACCATTTAAATACTACAAGTCGGTAGGTAAAGTGACATTTATAATCTAAGTTTCCCACAGAAATTTTACTTAATTTTTTAATTTTAAATTTACAGTTTTTATATTAATATATTGGCAACGCCAATTGAACCACTTTTGAATATCCATGTCAGTACAAAGAAAACAAAATTGAAAGTGAGGACCTGCTTTTTTTTGCTCATACGATCTTAATTTATTTATTTTTCTTCCAATTACTGTCGTTTTCTTCAAGTAAACTACTGAATGATCAATTGTAAAAGTTAAATATTTATTTAACTTTTTAAAATTGTGTTTATTCCGTTGTTTGTATGACATATCCAATAATACATCTCTCTCTCTCTCTCTCTCTCTCTCTCTCTCTCTCTCTCTCTCTCTCTCTCTCTCTCTCTCTCTCTCTCTCTCTGTCTAACGCACAGAGTTAAATGTTTAAATGGTTTGTAAAATTGTGATTTTTTTGTGACGGTCGTAGAGAAAGTATAGTATGCAACGCGTTCGGTAAACTCCTTGTCTCACTCGTTTATTAAGCATTCGCTTCGCTGGTGCCAAGTAAACTCGTGAGTCATATGCCGTTTACCGCACTTGTTGCATAATATACCATTAAATTCAGAGGAAAAAACGTAGAAATGCATAAAACGAGGCAAAAATATCAATTTAAGCAGAAAATTTGGCTGCGAGCGTAGCTGATTGGACGATGGCGAACATTGACGTTCACGCGTTTATACAATGTATAGAGCGGAATGCGCGAAAATATTAAACACGCAGATTTCGAGGCATTCCGTCGAAAAGTTTTCCGGACGTCCCTCACACCCCGACGTCCTCAATATGTACTTTTACTACTTGGACGCGTCCTTCGACAATAAAACCTCCAAAGATTTTACGGGTCGAATTTACAACAACACGCGTACGATCGCATAGCTCACATTCTCACTTTTCACTGGCCATTGAGGTATAAACAAATTTCCGCGACGGTCTCGCTCGCACCTATCCTCAAACGACGCAAAATGGGCGGGCTCTGGCAATCGCCGCCTCTCCGTTCCGGACCCGGAGCCGGCAGCCGCTGCCGCCGGCAAAACCGTCCCGTCCGTCGTCGCGTCAACGGGAAAACTCCTCAACGTAAACTCAAAAGTGTTTTACATGGTTTTGTATTGTGCGCGCCAACGATGGAGGTGGACCAGCAGAACTTAGCCGAAGAGTACGTTCAGGATTTCGTCCTGGACCACTTGGAGGACATAACGGTGAAGCGCGAGGACAAGAAGCATTACTTCGAGGCGTGCTCGAACTGGCTCGAGGAGGACACGCGGAATTGCAGACCCGATAGCTGGGAGGAACGGAGGAACATGTCGTCTACGCCCGAAACCGTGTACCAACAGCCCAGCTTGATAAATATGTCGCTGATGACGGACCCGGGCACCCCCCCGGAAACACCTCCGAGCCAGTCGCCCATCGCTTACCGTCCCCCGGGTCTCGTGGAGGAGATGATGTGGTTCCCGCAGGCGATGCGGTCCGACCCTCAGCCGTTAGATTTGCGTCCGCTGCATTGCATAAGTGATATCGATTGGGAACGTAGGGAGTACATACCGTCGGGGATGATACTGGAGAATCAAAACCACCACACGCTGCACCACACCAGATCGCAATCGGTGTGTTCCGGTGCCAGTGCGTTATCCGCACGCGTGAATAACCATAATAGCGGCTACTCCACATGTTCCGAGGATTTGGGGCTAAACGACGAGCTCTTGGTGACCCTTACGGTGCGCGAGTTGAACAAAAGGCTGCACGGGTGTCCCAGGGAGGAGGTGGTGCGGTTGAAGCAGAAACGGCGAACGCTGAAGAACCGCGGCTACGCGCAGAACTGCCGATCGAAGAGGCTGCAGCAGCGACAGGACCTGGAGCAAACCAATCGCAGCCTGCAACACGAGCTCCACAGGTTAAAGTCGGAACTCGCGAGGGTCGTGCAAGAGCGGGACCTCTTGAAGCAAAGGCTGCAGCTCGGCAGGAGCCACGTGCACAACCTCAACTCCGACGGCGGCCAGAGTTCGCCGGAGTTTTACCTTTGACACAGCTTCCCGGGTCGGAGGCTATAGTTGATTTCGACCCAGAAGCCGAACAGAATAGCCGCTTCGACGTGAAAAAAGGATATTTTGAGTGATAGTGAGGTGTGTGTTTTTCAATGGTAACGCCGAGTGCAATAATAACACTAAAAAACAACCTCAAACAATCGAATCTTATTCGTGTAAATAATATCGACCCGCACAATGTTATTTTATATGCGTTTGCGTTTATAATTAAAATGTTTATTACGTTTCTGAGCGGTCGACGCTCCAAATCAATTGCATATCTTAAATTTTTTTTTGTTTTTTTTTTCCTCTTTTTTGTACATATTTATAATAATCTGAAGTATTTTTGTATCGGCCGGGCCTTTTAAACCCGTACGGTTATGTTACTTAATGCATATGATATATGGTTATGTTATAACGAAGTTGTAAATAAAATTTAGGTCCAGCGAAATGCTGGCGTAGACGTGATATGTGTTTTTATTTTTCTTCGCCGTTTATTAAATTACTAAAAAAAATAATACTAGTTGCGTCACTTACGCACTTTTTTAATAATTTTGGATTTATGACAGATTTCAAATCAAAACACACAGAATATTTTTATAAATATTTATTTAATGAGAACATTTTTTGGTGAAAATTTTAACAATATTAAATAAAGAAAATAAAAAATTTCCGCGTTTATATTGATGACAATAATTCTTCATGGGTTATAAATTTCAATATTATTTTGAGTATTTTGAGTAACTTTTTGGCAGTTCGATAGTCATATTTAAATTTTAATTTATTTTTTTTTTAAAGAAACTTCCACAGGCTACTGTGATACTTTTTACAAGACTTCTGGATTCCTCCTGACGTTTCGCCAATCATCCTAAAAGCATGGCTGAAATTATTCCAGTCGAGCTCAACAAAAACCGAATTTTTTTTAATTGAAATTTAAATTTCGTGCTGCTAGAAAAGTTTGTTTGCGATACCCTTATAAAGTTCGCAATTGGCCATATTACAACTTTACTGCACCGCTGATTTGGGTGAAAAAACTAGCCGATAAGTTAGTGATAAATTTCGAACAAACATTTTTTCCCTAGATTTTGGTTTCTTTTTTTTTACTGGGTTTGTACTGCAAGTTAGACAAAATATATATTTTTAAATTTTTCTTTAAAGTCTTTATCGCAAAGTTTGCAAATGGCGAAGTTGCTTTATATAAAAATTAAGAGAAAAAATTTAATCCACGCTCAACTTGAGAGTTTTATTAATTAAAACTGTTAAATTATAAATCTTTAATCAATTTCTAATTATTGTCATAATTTTTGAAATTTTTAAAATGTTTCATATTTTATACAGGGCGTCTGGAAATAAAATTTGAATAATTCAAGTGGTCATTCTAGATGAAAAAATTACAAAATTCTTTTTAAGATACACATACAAATTAAAAAAAAGGTGATTAATAAACATCTTCAATATCCATTGACCGATATTTTAATTAGGTTTTAATTAAATTAAAATTATGGTATTTCATTGAATTCATTTGACAGCTCACTTTTTTTACCTTGAAATTTTTTCGCAATTTGTGTCGTTTTCGAGAAAAAAAGAAACAATTTTTTGCATGTCCCTAATCGACAACAAATTGGAACCCTTTTTTTAAACAATATCTTTAATAACATAATAATAATGGAAATAGCATATTATTCAACAAGTGCGGTAAACGGCATTTGACTCACGAGTTTATTTGACACGAGCGGAGCGAGTCTTTAATAAACGAGTGAGTTAAAAAGTTTACCGAAGGTGTTGCATACTATACTTTTTCTACGACCGTTAGTTTTTGGGTACATTTTCGCAAAACAATACAAATACATTCACTGACATGACCGTCAGAATTGACAAATGTCAAAATTCAAACCGTGGGAAATATCTACGAAAACATCCGATCGGTCCCAAATTCGTGCGGTAAAATCCCGGAAATGTCCGAAATGGCTCGGATTCGTAAATATTTCTGCTAAAAAGTTAAAAGATATAAACGTTTAAATTGTTTCACATTAATGACAAACTGAATCTTTAAAATGAAAAAAAATGTTCGCACCCATTCTATAAGAAATGCGATATAATATGGTAGTTGTAACTTATGTGAGTCGCGTAGGATTCATTCAATATTTCAGGAGATCGCATCGGCAGCAGAAATGTTTTGCTGACGCGTAGGATCAAACCACACGGAATAATCAATCGATAGTAAAAGTGTTTCTGGATTCTTTTATGCTCGATACTACCTCGATATGCGTACTTGCGTCTGTTTCGTTTTTTTTTTTAATTAAATTTGTCGATAGTCTCGAGCGAATTAAAATTATCATGCCGCGAATATTTGTGTATACAATGTATTCGATATCCGACACATGCGCTTTTTTACGGAACCTCTCTTATCAGTTTCATTCATAACATTTACGCTATAAATTTAAACACAGTAATTTTTTAACAGTTTCACTTTATCGTTTTTAAATAATAATCGGAATATTAATATTGGGGTTATTTCATTTAAGGAGAACCAACCGAATCGAGAGATAAACCCCAAGGACAGTGGTGAGATGACAAATGATGACTTGTCATTGTACGCGAATAGTAATTGTTTCGACTTAATCTGTTTAAGTGAACATTGGGTAGTGAACGACAACATTCTTTCGAATATTAATCTTATAGATTAGAATTTGATTTCGTTCTTTTCTAGGTCTACTCGCATTCACGGTGGAGTGTGTCTGTATGCTCGTAGTGGTCTGGACTGCGAGAAAATTGACGTATCGAGTTACCGCAGGGAGATTGACGCAGAGTTCTGTGCTCTTCGGTTTGCTTCGGCGAAATTATTGGTTAGTTTGTTGCTACAGATCTTGTAATGGCAATATTGCGATATTCTTTGAGCAGCTAGAGTTATTGTTGAACAATTTTCTCTCGTTTAACACCAGAGTGGTTATTGTGGGTGACTTCAATATAAATGTAAATGTTTCATCTAACGCTGTCTCCGAATTTTTAAGTATTATAAATAGTTTTGGATTGAGGTTAACTATTTCCGATAACACTAGAATTGCGCGCTCTTCTGCTAACTTGCATTGATAATATAATAACAAACTTGAATGAAGACGTTTATGAGGTGGGAGTTCTTGGCCCTGGCATGTCAAACCACAGAGGCCAGTTTATTAAACTTAGCATAGGTAGGGCGGATTGCCAAATCAGGTATTGTGAATATTAGGAAGTCCTTGGAGGCTGTGGATTGGAATATTTGCCTTGGTTCTAACGATGTCAACTTTATGTCGTCATTTATATTGCACAAAGTTCAAGACTTGATCAACAAAATTGTTCTGTTAACAACATTCCTCATAAAAAATCACCGGTCAACTGGTTTGATAAAGATCTAGTAGCTCTTAGAAACAGAGTGTCAGCTGTTAAAACTCTCAGTAAAGTCTCACAGAACCCTCTTTATACAGAAGTGTATAAATCGCTAAATAAGGAATATAAACAAAAAATTCAACAAACCAAAAAAGCTGATTTTGATGACTTTATCGAAAAATCAACCAATAAAAACAAAGATGTCTGGAAAATCGTTAACTATGAAAGAAATTGTCTTGGGAGATGTGATAAAGAATCTGATTTATCAGCAAACGATCTTAACAGTTTTTTTAGTTCTGTCTCGAGGAATATTATAAAGATCTTAACGGTGAATCACAATGTACAGAGTGCATGTGTTGAAGGGATTCCACTGGAGGAAACTACTTTTTTTTGCATCCGATAACTTGTGAGGATACGTACCGAGCCATACTAAGATTAAAAAAATCTTATTCTAGCGATGCTTATGATATCAATAGTGTCTTGGTGAAGGGACTGGTCAAAATTGGCTTATTCTCTAGAAAGAGAAAGTACCATATTTTTACAAAACTTCTGGATTCCTCTTGCGTCGGTTTTTGCTTAGTCGAACTTGCTCAAACTGAAGAAGCCAACAGGATGATTGGCGAAACGTCAGCAAGTATAATATAATATAATATATTTCAATTGATGATCGTCAGAAAAACGAAACATCAGCGTCTTGTGAGATTTTTGACAAAAGTTGAAGTTCGACCAGTTAAATTGAGGATGTATTTGTAGATTTAAAATACAACAAAATATTTTTTTCCTACCAACATTTGACATTGGGTTTACAGGAGTGTGTAGAAGATCGATCTTAAAGCTCCATTTTCAATTACTTGAAACTAATTTATCTTATACAGGAGTGTGCAGCAAAATTTGAGATGAGGTGCCGCAATGCTGTTATATAAAAGGTATTTTATTCTACATATAAATCCTACTTTTTGTGAAAATTTTCTCATTACATGATCAGCATGCCGTCGTAGCGTTACTTCTGAGTCTAACATGACTCCAAGGTACTTCATTTTATTTTCGTGTACCAGCATGTCGTTATTTATTTCAATTTTTATGTTTTCTATATTAACAGTACTCAATTTTTGTTTTTTTCCCAAAAATATAAAATTTAGACTTTGACGTGTTAATATTAAGTTCGTGTTTACATAACCATTCATATATTCGGTTCAAATATATAACATTGTATCATCTGCGAATAATTAGATTTTGCTATCGTTAATTACTTAACTATGTCATTAATATACAATAGGAATAATAGAGGCCCCAGTACAGTTCCTTGCGACACTCCATACATTGGATCGGCAGAATCGGACACACTATTTTTAAATCTAAGTTTTTGGGTTCTGTTATACAAATAAGATCCGAACCAATTTAAAACTGAACCTCGTATACTATCAATAGTTTCGAAAGCTCTCCTAACATCCAAGAACATAGCCAAAATAAGATTATTACTATCAACAGCTTTGAGGAAATTGTTTGAAATGTTGATGACGGAAGGCAGACTGATTGGATACTAAAATGTCATTGTTATCGCAGAATGCAAGCAGTTTCTCTTTGACGACCATTTCCAATATTTTTCATAAACCGGAACAGTGTTTATCGGTCTAAATTCTCCATGCTGGTTTGTGCCTGGAACCTTTGGAACTGGAATCACAGTTGATGTCTTCCACTCGTGCGAAAATACTCCTGTAGAAAGTATTTATAATGTTTAAAAGACTCTTACCTATTACACTGAAGACATCTCTGAGTACCCCAGTCGAGATTCCACTCGTCCCACCGCCTATATTTTTCATACTATAAACAGATTTTTTAACATATTTAGAAAACCCTGTATAGATATTTTCTACGTTATCGAATTGTGGGATACTGGATAAATTCTCTGCAACACCATTAACAAAGTATTCATTAAATTTATTGGCGATTTCCATTTCGTCTGAAACTGCCTCCACTCCAAACAATATTTCAGCAGGGACCGTTG